GCCAGCCCAGCTTTGAAGCCCCTTTGCAGTCAGGTTCCAACATTTTTCAAGGTTCCTACTCATCTGTCATTCCCCCAATATGCTGTTACCCCGTGTGCTGCGTCATTTTTGAATACACCAGATTTGATCTGTGCTCATCCTTGTTTCTTATCCATGTTTTTTCTACCCCAAGACTGTATTTACCCCCCTCCTGTCTCCCTCCCTTCTTCCTAATTTCCACTCATCCTTTAGGACTCACTTTAAGTGTCATTTCTTTAGTAAAATTTTCTCTAACTGCTCCTTAGGTACCGCGTCCTAGTTTGTTGGTGTACCTCCGACAGTATGGATTAGATTGTATTTGAATTGCTTATTTATATGTTACTAAAACATGTACATGAGAAGACACAAAGCACAAATAAATGTGGTACATTTTTCTGGAGTGTCAACTCTACTTGGTGCTCAGTGATTTAAAACACTTAGTAATGTAAAACAAGCACAACTATTTTTATGAAGCAATACACAAAACACATATTTAAATAGTCAATTTCACCGGGAAAAAGAGGTAGGGGGACTACTTTAGATTAAGAGACACCAGGGAGACAGAATACCAAATGCATGAAAACTGGATTGATTCTAGATTGAAAAATGCTATAAAGGCATTTTTGATACTGAAGAAATTTTAATATGATCATTAGATATTATGGAATCAATGTTAATTTTCTTAGGTGTGGTAATGGTATTGTGGTTATAGAAGAGAATGTTCGTAGTAGGTAACTGCTGGAGTATTTAGGAATATTTGGGAGTAAAGAATTACGTCATCAGCTTACTTTCAACAGTCACTGAAAGTTATATATACCAGCACGTGTGCATGTGAGACAGAGATTACGGAACCCAGATGGAATGTACAGATGGGTTTTAACGCATCGCAAATTGAAAATATCATTAAGTCCAAAGGGCACTTAATACTACACTCTGGAGGGTCAGTTGTTTACCCTCATGACTGCGTGGCTGACTGGGAGCTGTGGCTTGCTGCCCCTGCCCAACATCACGAGGGAGTTCCTTACTACATATTGCTAGTGCAGGAAAAGATCAAAATTCAAAACTGGAAGTATACTTACTACTGAACATGTATTGCTTTTGTACACTGTAAAGGGGAAAGACGAACCATTGTATGCCAGGGGCTGTCTGTGTATAGATAATTATGTTTGAAAAATTTCCAGCTAAAAAGTTGTGGGGTGGGAGAATCATCCATTTTACAAATTCACGGTAAAATTTCAAAGTTATTAATTTCAGGAGTCCCTCCTACTGGCTCCAGTTCTTTCTCCTCTGCCAATTAAGGACACTTGCTGGAGAAGCGTGAGAAGCCCTCTTTTTTTTCTCCCCACCATTCTGTTCTGTGAGCTCCCAAAGAGCCTAGGACTCAGTCTGTAATCTCGGAGCCCAGTACAGTGTCTGCCATAGAGGGATGTTGAATAAATGCTCCCTGAATATCACGAACTTATGTGCATGTGACCTTGGCAAAACTGCACCTAGACCGTCTCCCCTTTTGTAAAAGAAGGCTGGACTAGATGACTTAAGGTCCTTTCCGGCCACAGCACCTTCGGATGCTATACTTGAGGCTTTGAAGGAAAAGTCAGCAGTTTTCTTTCTACACAGAACCCCCAACTCCCACAAGGCAGAAATGACCAGTGAATCAGCCTCTGCTCCCTGGTCAAGCCCCCAAGTTTTAGGTCAGCCATGGGCTTTGGGAGAAGTGTTCTTAGCCATACAGAACATGTGATAAGCAGGGGAAGCAACTTAGCTTTCTACCATCCTCTTGGTTATAGTCATAGCCATGGCAAATACCAGTGTCCTCCACCTTGGTTGCACATTGTAATCAGTTAAGGAAGCTTTAAAAAATACTGATTTTTACTCCAGGGATTCTGATTTAATTGGTCTAGGGTACGAGCCAAGCATCTGGATTTTTAAAGGCTCCCAAGGTGCTTCTACGTGCATTCTAGGACTAAAAACCACTAAGGCCTACATCATAGTGATGGGCTAAGGGCTCTCGCTGGGTTTGCATCCTGGCTTTGCCATTGCCCCGTTGGTTGATCTTGGCTGTTAGTTCTTTTTGAACTTGTTGACCCAAATGTGACAATCCAGTGAGATAATGCATACAGCACTAACCCCAAAAGAACAGCTATATAGTTAATAAGGACAATCATTAATGAGTGACCAGGAGGTGCCTTTGTGGCTCTTCTTGGAAAGAGGAAAACTTTCTCCAACTTGTATCAAAATCACTTGAAGACTTGTTAAAACAGATGGCTGAATACCTCCTTTCCCCGAAGTTTCTGATTCAGTAGGTCTCAGGTGGGGATCTAAAATTTGCATTCCTAGCAAGTTCTCAGGTGATGCTGCTGCTGCTGTTCCAGAGGCCACACTTAGAGGATCACTGTTCTAGAGCAGAGGGTTCTCAACAGCACCACTAAGGACATTTTGGAGCACCTAATTCTTTGAGCGCTTTTGGCCTCTGTCCATTAGGTGTGCATAGCATCTCTCCAGTTGTGATAATCGAAAGTGTCTCTAGACATTGCTAAATGTCCCTTGGGGGGCAAAAATTGCCCTGTTTTAAGAACTACTGCTCTAGAGGACAAAAGTGACAGAAAAATCTAAGAGCCTACGGGGTTTCAGAGGCAAGTGAGAAAAAGACGTTGAAGCCTGAAGAAAAGTTTGGGTAGCTCAGGGCTTGATGCAGAGAATGGGTGCCCACCTGGAGCTTTTTTGGAGACAGATCATTATGGGTCTAGGGTACAGAGACAACTGACCAGAGGGCAGGCTCAGAACTCAGACCTGGCTTCGTTCGGTTCCACAGGAATAGGGGCTGTCTTTCAAGTGTGGCTCCTCCCTCTGTCCTGGGACACAGCTGTCAAACCCTAAGTCTCTTGGAAGGAGCCATCTTGTCCCAACTCAAATGGCCCGACAGCTTTCCCCTCAGACTTTGCTGCCTGCAGCCCAAAATTGCCCAGAGCCCTCACCTCGGTCTCCCAATCACACACCTTGAGGTATTAACAAGCAGCAGACTCCAGGTCTACCTGTGAGAAACAGCTCGTAGTTGCACTGTTTAGAAGCAACTCTGACAAAAGCCCTGGCCTGTCCAAACCCACCTGACAATTCAGTCCACAAAACTCAACCAACCAGTGGCAAAAAAAAAGACTTGGCTCTTTTAAGTGCCAACAGTATTAAGTGCTAGAGATGGGAGAAGTCATAAAGGGAAATTAACTGAAAACCAGAGATGCCATTACTCATTCGGGAGCAATCTATCTCTCCCAAAGTGAGAATACAATTTGCACCCTCTGGGGATATTTTATACTCAAATCTTTATTCCCCAGGCTAGGGCCTCTATTTCCTTCACATTCTAAGTGGTGCTATTTCCTGCTAATGGCCTCTACCCAGCCTCTGTAGGCACTTGGCAGGAGTGAAGAGGCTAAGGTTGGAGGAAAGCCCTTGCAGTCTCCAGGGCCTTTGTTCTACCATATCGCTGCCGATTATTAATTAGGTTTTTAAAAGTGCAATGTTAAGGTTCAAGTCTTATTTTAGCCCAAGCCAAGAAAGATGGGTGAGCGGAGGGCACTGGACTAATTGCGAGGTATGTGGATCTTAACAGGGATTAGGGAGCAACCTGCGATGGTGTGAGAACTATGAATAGCAACTTGCAAAACATCTCTGGCCAAACCTCTCCTTGTTAAAGGCATATATATAATTATTGCCCACACCTGAAACCTGAATCACCATTCTCTTCGAAGATTCTACTATACTTTGTATATTAAAGGCTCTAGGCTGTTCTGCAGTAAAGAAATCTGTTTCACTGTATTTAACTAGGCTTTTTCTCATTTATTTGAGCAAGAAATCTTTAGGCCCCAATGTTGCTAACATAGCTGGGAAACAGTGTTCTGTGGAACGTACTTTAGGAACGCCAGGACGTGGCTCCTACCGAAGCCTGCAACTTCACTGTCTGCTGCTCCCCACCTCTAATGATGCTGAAGTTCAATGCACATGTTCTTTGCCCACCTGGCAAAAGCCCACTTATTTTTTTAGTCCCAATCTAAGCATAATCAAGTAATCTGTGAGACTGCCTCAACTCTCCCAGGCACAATAAATCGTTTCCAGTGGCCTTTATTAAAATTTTATTCACTGTATTAAAAGTAATTGATTTGACAGCTTTATCATCCTGTTAGTTCCTTCATTAATGAGTTAAATACTGCACATGTGCTCACTTAAAACCATCTTCTCTCTTATAACTTAAGATACACAGATGACTCGGGTTTGTGAGCTAAAGTATAAAACCAAATGTGTTTAGAAGAGGTTGGAGTTGTAAAGGCCTCTGTGTTGAGATATGAGATTTCAGAAAAGACAAACTCCACTCTCCAGTGTCAGATGGAATCCACCGGTGTGTGCTCAGCACAGTCACCCAGTGATCCAGGGAGACAGTAACCTGTCTTGGGGGTAGAGGACAATTAATAGCATTTCTTAATACCATTGTCAATTTAGGAAAGAGAGACAAATAAGCAGAATCATAAAGAAGTCCTAATGTCATGGCCCAGTTACACCAAAACTTTCTCATATTCCTTCTGAGTTTGATGCAGCCTTTCAGCCAATGTTGTCTCTGCCAGTGGAGACTGGCCCCAATATGCCCGCTGCAGGAACCCTGGGTCTAGAAACCACTGCTCAGGAAAGTTTTTGTTTGTTTTTTGGCAGGATGGGGAGCTACAGACCCTGTTCATTAAAGAGCATGTAAAAGTAAACAAGATTCTTTCAGACCTTACAGATCACCTCTTTATGCTATGGTTCTAATAGGAGAGCAGTATCTGTTATCTGTAATTATTCTGTCATTTTCATGGAGTGAACCTAAAAATACATACAAGGGGAAAAAAAAGCCCAAAACATTCCAATAGACAGCTTCTTGGAAGTTTAACTGAATTATATCACGTGTCCATATCATGTCCTGCTCAGATTTATAGTGATCAAGCAAACAAAGGACAGCAATAAGTCCAATCTACATGGCTCTTGTAAAAAGGCATCTATTTGGTTTTTAATACAAAATGACTCAGAGAAACACAGAAAGAAAATATACAAGCCAGTTATTGAATTAAAAAAAAAAAATCCCCAAACAAATTTCATCACATTCTCTGTCTTCGGTCTCGATTAGAAAACAGGAAGCTGCAAACCAACCAATGTCTGTCCCTTTGAAGGAATATTAAAAAGGAAAAAAAAAAGTAAAGAAGAAAAAAAAAACAAACAGTCCCTGAAATCCGGCAGGTGGTTCTTTAGAGGCCACTGTGAGCTTGCCTTAATCATCCTGGTGAAATGAGATACATGTGGTTGCTGGAATATGGCCACCTCCTACTAGTTTCTTGATCTTTGTCTCGAGGGAGGGTGCTGGCCTGGCCACCACTGGATGCCGCTGATGCAGCCTGAGGTCAAGCAGCCCTGGAGTCGTCCACTCCCCACTCACTGAATCTCCCCCATATACAGTCTCTTGTCACTGGATGCTGAGAGAACTGAGGTAAAAGAACAGAGAAGAATAACTGGTTATAATGAAGGCTCAAGGAGACCTGGTGCTCAAGGGCTCTTATTTCAAGAGCCGATTTTGGTATAAAAGAGCAATTGGATTCAGCTTAAACCCCCCTCCTTCTGAACACCATTCACTGGTAATTGTAGTCTGGCTTTTCAATCCACATCCTCTCAGAACCATAAGGGTGGACTGTGCTGTAGGAAATAGCATTATCAGGCTCCAAATCCTGATGTATCCTGTCAGTCAAACCCTAAGAAAAAGATCTCAGTCCTTCCAGAAAACAAGAATCAATGTCTGTGCCAGTCATTTTCTAAGTGCGCTTATTAGCCCTAGAGACAGTCACATTTTCTCCTTAATTTCAAGGCCCATTATTTAGTTTACAAAATGACTGGCTAGCCAATAAAATGTGAGTGAAGTTATAATTTAAATCTGAATACTAAGAAATATCATTCTTTTATCCAAATACTTCACTGAAACACACTTGAAGCAAATAAACTCACAAGAACTAGACTAACCAAGATCGCTCTCAGATTGAGAAGAAAATGAAACACTGCTCTTACCCTCACCACTTAAAACAATGGTGAGACTGCTGATGACACCCATAAAGAATGTTTGCACGGACATTCTCAGAAAACAGACAGCCACATATGCCTCTGTATTCTCAAGGCTCCCTTTGGGAGATTCCCCCATCTCCCCTTCCCCATAGTCAGGAAGACTTACTGATGGGCTCGTCGGGGTGGAAAGCCACTTCGTTGATGGAGCCAGCATGGCCAGGCAACTTATACAAAATCCTCCTACTTGTGGTATCCCACACGTACACAAACCTGCAAGGTATCATGAAGAACAAAGCTAAGGCCTTTCAGAGCTGAGGATAGGGTGGAAGTATGGCTTTTTAAGGGAAATGGTTGTAACAATTATTTACTCACTCCATATTTATTGAACTGTATTCTGAGTTTTAGAAATTACGAATACAGATTTCGAATAAGGCATGGACCTGCCTTGAGCAACTGAGTGGAGAAATAGAAGTAGACAAAAATATAAGCATGACTGGTATTTTCAAACGCAAGCTTAAGAAATAGGAAAGAAATGTGGAGGAGAAAGACAGTTTTTCCTACAGATCCCCATATGGAAATCTTTCTCAAAGACCACCCCATGTAATTAGGCTGCAGTTATTAACATCATATGCATCCAGGAATGTCTTAAAGGTAACCCGATTCACGGTAGGTTGGGAATCTACGTTGTAGAGGCATCTGAACTTCTAATATAGTATTTAAATCACAGAGCCAGAGGAGGAACAGGAAATTTGTGCTATATAAACATAACCCAATATACACTTGACCCAAATCTCGTACTGAATTCTTGGGCAGAATACTGAATTCTAGCATGGGAAGGGGCCAAGAGAAATCAGGTAGTTTGAACTCATTTTACAGTAACAATACTATGGTACAATGACTTTTCCAAGATGATACAATTCATCAGTGGCAGAACTAAAATCAGAACTCTTAATATATTCCAGTGTTCTCCCTTTTGTCTTACCACCCTCAAACACCTTGTCTCCCCATCTCCCCCAAAAGAAGTTCCTTTGATCCTCAATCTTGCTTGGGTCATTTTAAGCTAAAGGTAAATAAAGAGATATTACCTTTATATGACCATGCAAAAATAACTTGTTGGTAAGTTTAAAGGGCTTATGGTTTTCAAATAGGTTGCATGAATTATTTATACATTAATTTTGTTTGGGCAACACCTAAAAGGGCACACTCACCAGTACTTGATTATAAAATGCCTACTTCTTATGTGACAGTCTTGGGTTGCCCACAAAGTCCAACCCAAGATTTAGTTTAATCCATGAAATAAAAGACATTTTTCATTTTCACCAATAATTTTATTGATTCAGATATTTTGAATATATTGGCTCTTTCCCGCCATTGGTTTCTAGTGGGTAGAGGCCTAGAGTACTGCCCAACACCTTCTAATGCACAAGATAGCCCCACAGCAAAGAATTACTTGGCCAGAATGTCAATAGTACCAAGAAACTTTGCAAGCCATTCTTGACACATTTGATCAGGCACAGCACTTTCTCCATACACTGCACAGATCATTTTCTGTGTTTCAGTTGTGTTTTTACCTTTCTTGAAATAATATATTGAAAATGTGCATTTTCTACCATCTTCAATATTAAAATGGCTACACAAAAATATTCACCAATTTTGATGTGGTTTTTTTTAATGCATGCTGATATGACAGCTGTCACAATACAACCTAAAAAAATTGTTTCAAATGAAGTTAAAGACAACTAAGTGCTATTAGAGCCATTGAATGGAAAAAACTATACAAACTTTTTGGCCAACCAAATAAACACTTTTGGTCTAAAATGGTGAAAAAGTGTATGAGTTCTGGAGTCAGAAAGACCTGGGTTCAAGTCTCAATGCAAGTATTTAACAGCGAAGTAATGTTAGACAATTATTTATATAACTTCTCTGAGTTTCTCTTAGTTGTAAAGTTAGATAGAAATAATACTGATCTCACAGTTTGGCTGAAAGAAATAATAAGATAATGTATGCTAAGTGCCTGGCACACACAATTAATTACAGCGATTGTTCTAACAAATACATTCATAATCAAAACAGAATCACATAAAATCAAAAGGTTGAATAAATCACTCAGAGTAGAAAGACTGGTAAGTCTTCCTGTAGTCTATGATACTAACAAAAAAAAAAAGACTTTAAAAAAGTAGTTAATTTTTTTATTGTATTTTTTTTCAATTGCCATTTTATCACCCTTACACCCTCTTCCACCTCCACCCACCCACCTCCCTCGCCACGATAGCACTTTTGAAAAGTTTCAAGTCTGAACATGAGGAGGTAGATGATTTGCAAGTAGAGAGAAAAAACTGGCCAAATCCAGGCCAAGGTGAAAGGCAGTTTTCTAAGGAAGATTACATTTCCCAGGCACATAAAGGCCAGCAGAACCCCAGATCTCCAAAGGTTTACTTCAAGGCCTCACTCTCTATGGCTGCCAATTAGATGCTAAATTTAGAGGTTCCATGCCCTCTCGTTACTCTGGCATGGCAATATTCGGCAGGAACCAGGCTCTTTATGTAACAGAGCTGCTTGCTGACTTCGGGCTAATTGGTGAGGAGGCTTGTGATATCTGGCCAACCCCCAGCAGGTAGACAAGCAGACTTTCCCAGGCCACAGCCATGCTTCTACATGTAAGGTCTAAAGGAAAAGAGAGAGGAAAAGAGGGAAGAGAGAACACTGACAGGCAGGGCCAATGTTGAAATAAACTGCTTGGAAGAAAAGCTTAGGCAAATATTTAAAAGCTTAATTACATAGGAAAGATAAAATATCTCTACCGAAAATAATGTAAACATACTTAGAATGGTTCTCATTCTGTCAGAATGCATGACACCTTATGCTGTGGACCTGTTAAGATCTTCTTTAGCAATTTGAACAACAGAAAATCTCTTAGATTCCCTCTTTGAGGCAGCTCTCTAAACCACAAGGCCTCAAACCATCAATGTGACACTTTTACCTGGACCCCCCCCCCCCCCCGAAAATGGCCAAACATTTGTTCATTTTTCCTGGCATTAAATGTGCCAGGATACAAAAGCCAACTCTGGAACTTTCAGGTATGCTCACAAATAGAAAGGTGTGGGACAGACCAAATGAAGCTTATCTATGGCTTTGCTAGGGCCCCAAATACGACTGGAACATACTGAAAGCCTAGGAAAGGCTTCGTGTTTATGGGCTGGTGCTTGTTTCAGCAGGATAGCAGGAAAATCTCTAAAGGCGAAAAAAGATGGGAGCCAAACCCAAAGTCTGTCACCAGAGGGCTTCCTCATTCTGTACCATCCCACATCTGTGGCCCAGCAGAGGTTGATTATAATCAGCCTCTGACTCCCTCCCAAGTATAGGCCACCATATACAGGGTAAAATTTGATTGCCATACTTGAATTAGGAATTCATTCTGAGCACTATTCACTAAGTGCTCAGATAGGTCAAACACTACCTTGGGTTCAGAGATGAATACAACTCATTCTCTGACCTCTACGAGCAAATAATGTACTGGGGGTGCCTCACTGTTTGACAATAAGATGTAATAAATGCTAATAAAGGTTAGGTGTAACTACAGCATAAGACAGAGAAATTAGTTATGCCTGAGAGGTAAGAGACAGAGAGGGCCAGGAAAAGTTTATAGATGTAACAAGAGAGAGGTGATCACTAGAGAGAGATATAGGAGTTTGAATAATGGAGTGTAAAACAGATATTTAAATAAACTGAAGCATGGCAGGAGAATCTGGTTAAAAACAAAACAAGACTGGAGTCAGATTATGAGCCTGAAGTGTATTATGATGGCAAAGGTAATGGAACAGAATCAAAGAAATTATTTATCCTCCATGTCTAAAACATATCCAAAGAGGGTAGAATTGATGTGTTTGTCTGATATGACCTTTAAACCCTACATAGTGCATATGGTTTCATCTCTGAGTACAGCTATAATTCTATGTGTACTCTAGCTCCGTGTCCACACTTAATGTATTAAACATTAGAAGATACCTACAGAGCTCCATCATTCTTTACCACACACCCTGTCACCCTTACCTGTCGGCTGAGCCAGCTGCTATCTTGCTTCCATCAGGTGACCAAGAACATCTCAGAAGATTCTAAAATGATGAATAAGCAGGAATCCACTGAAGACAGTAATGTACCAAGTCCCCCTTTATTAGACTACAGACTCACTAAGAGACTTTAAATTTAAGCAATTTTAATTTTTCCCCCAGAAAGATGATCAGCAATGTATTTTATATTTTGTGACCCAAAATAGCGCATTTTATAATTTCATTATATAAAAACCAACTGTAGAAAATGCTTAATTTACAGTAAATCAGAGTGGACCTGACAACAAAATTTTGTTCTGCCTACAAATGGAGGGTCCCTTTGCTCCATTTACCTTGATCCTCATTAAAAATTGTTTACCTTGAAGAAAAGGAAAAGCAGAACCAAATCTAACAACAAAAAAGATTTGATTTATAAAGTGAAATAATGGGATCTCAAAGTAAAACCAGTAGTCTCTGTTATCAAATTATCTGGAGGAAAGCTGCTTTCAAGAGCTGACCTGGGATTTGAGAATTAGAAAAAATTTCTCTCTCTCAGAATCTGGGCCACGGTGCTTGCTGAGGAGAGAGATGTACCATATTTTGCCACATATAACGTGCTCCCATATATAATGTGCATCCTTGTTTTGGGTCCAAACTTTCAGGAAGAAAAAGTAATCTTCTGTTTCAATTTTAAATTCATTTATATTTAGATACTTGCTTTTTGTATTATAAAAGAAATTTAGCATTTATTTTTTATCATATTATGGTTCAAGAAATTTTATGTAACAAATAATTAGAAAACACAAGAACAGCTACAAGGTATTGCCTCAAAAATTTGGGCAAAAAAGTGCGCATCGTACATGGCAAAATACAGTCTTCTTGAGGCTCCAGTAGCTGGTCACCAGGAGGGGCAGGCAGTCCTCTTGGTAACAGCCATGGGAGCTGGGGTCCCTTTTCAAACTACAACCTAAGAGGGTCAAAGTCAGCAAAGAATTAAAAGGATAGAAGTGAGTGTTTTATTGAAGTTGGAAGTCCTAAATTGGAGGGTTGGACCCATCGCTGTTTATCTGTGTGACTGCCTTCTACCCTATCCTATTAGTTTTATTTCTAGGAAGAACAATTTTGATGGACAACAGTGTTACTGGAATGCAGTTCCTTCTTAGTGGAGATACTGAGCTCCCTTTTTTAAATAAACTGAGATAAAATTGATAGAACATTGTATTATTTTTAGGTGTACAGCATAATGATTTCATATATGCAGATACTGCACCTTAGCACTCTTTTCAACATTTCTTTGAATCAAACTCATTTGCTGTGCAGAACTCACCTTTTCAAAGTTGTGCACATTTCCTTGAAATATTTTTACACATCTCTCTTTGGGAGCAAATGGCCGGACATCCCAGACCCGCACTGCAAATTCAAATGAACAAAGCAAAAGAGTTATCAGCCAGAGGCCTCTGAGAACCCACCTGAAAGCAGTATCAAGTTAACAACAGAGGCTATTTCCTGGGAGGAGAGCAAAGAGAAGGTCAACATGGTACATGGTAACCTGTTAAGACTCTTTTTGTTAAGAGGAATATAAAATGCATTCCAGTTCCATTAACTGGGCCTAAGGGTATAGAGGAAACCGGAGGGGACAGGAAGGAGAAATGTCAAACACAATGCTGGGGACTTGCAACAGAGAGTAGTTGGGTGTAACATTAATTTCAACAAAACATTTTGCAAATGATTCCTCTGCCAACCCAAAGAGTCACATCTAGCAAAGCTTTGATATGGCAACCTAACCATTACTGACTACTGTGACATTCAATCTATAAAAATCAAACTCAGGACTAACCTTTTCTAATTTTGCTCTGAGGGGCACCTGACAGTCTAAACTTGAACAAGGTCAAATATCTGTATATATCAAAAGAGCACTGTATCAAGACTCAAAAAATGAACTGATTCTAATTTTAGTATATATATATACATAGTATATCAGATAAATAGTGAGGTCCTTTGGGTTTTGGGCTCCTCTGTAAAAAGTGAATACTATTTGTTCTTTTTTCTTTTTTAAAGCAAGAGTATTTTAAAAATCAAATAAGATGACATATGTGAAAGGGCTCTAAAAGACTGGAGGCAATTAACAAAAATAAAGAATTTGTAATTTTATTCTATAACCTGTAAGAAATTCTCCTTTTTCTCCTTATTTTAATAACCATTTCGGGAAGCTCATTTTTCCTTACTGTGAACAACGGTAGAATTAGCCGTGGCTGGTGTGGCTCAGTGAATTGAGCACCGGACTGTGAAGCAAAGGGTTGCCAGTTCAGTTCCCAGTGGGTTTCAGGCCAGGTCCCCAGTAGGGGGCACACGAGAGGCAAGCACACATTGATGTTTCTATCCCTTTTTCTCCTTGCCTTCCCCTCTCTCTAAAAATAAATAAATAAAATCTAAACAAAAACAAAAACAAAAAAATGCTTGTCAATGGTATTTCTGAAGAAATCACAATGTATGTGCAAATACCCACAGTGAGCACTGGCTATAGCTGTCATTTTATTTTTTAAGAATCAGAACTTGTAACTCTTTTATTTATTTATTTTTAGACAGAGGGGAAGGGAGAAAAGCAACAATGTGTGGTTGCCTCTTGCTCACCCCCTATTGGAGACCTGACATACAACCTAGGCATGTGCCTTGATTGGGAACTGAACCAGTGACCCTTTGGTTCACAGGCTGGCTCTCAATCCACTAAGCCACACCAGCCAGGGCTATAGCTGTCATTTTAAATGTAAAATAAAACAAAACAACACAACACCACACCACACAACACCTCTCTCCATCCCAGAACAACAAGAACAAACCCAAAAAATAGTCCTTGGAGTCAGAGAAGCAAAAAAAGGCAAAGCTATGCATAAAAGTTTGCTATAAAGCTGACAATATAGTCAGAAGATAAAGAATGTTCATTCATTCAACAAGTATATTGAGCGCCCACTGAGTGCTATTTTCATCATAAAATGTCTATGATGAAAAAACACTTCAGCTCTTGACAAGCCGATGAACTTGTACACCAGAGGGACATTTCCAAAAATATTAAGCATATAATCCAACATGTGATCCTCCTTTTCTGCTACACCCATCCTCCCACCCAACAACTCAAAAACAGGTAAAGAAAAGAGTGTGTGTTTGGGTAAATTCCGAGTGTTGAGATGTTTTAATGAGGTCCGGTTGCCACACCAATGCTTTGGAGCGGGAAAGGAAGACAATGGCAAAAAGAGCACATTTGAGATTCAATAGGTCTATTGATCATCCGAGTTTGGTGCTCTGAAAATGCCTGAGAACCGCCTTGGATGGATCTCCAGACTCTCATCTTTCTCAGTAAAGAAATCATCAAGAATTTCTTGTATCCTGCTTGAATCCATAGCCTTGAATTCAGAGCACACCAGAGCTAAAATGGGCCTTCTAAGTAAAGACCAGCCCTCTTTTCCTTTTCAAATCAGTGTAGAAACTGATGCCCAGAGAGGAGAAATGTTATGAGCAAAGTTGCTCAGGGATTAGGTGGCAGATCTGGGACTAGAATCCTGGCTTTTTGACCATCTCTTCCAAATGTTTTCTATTACACATTCTCCTAACTGCCCTGGTGAAAATCTGTGAGCTGTCCTGACTCTTTCCTTGAACCCTCATTTATCCCAGCACACATTTCTAGCACCCAATGACCCCTTTTCTTTAGGGTCCACAGTGACTGGGCATTTGGAGCACTTTCCTTTCCAAAGTTACCTGTATTGTCCATTGCATTGGACAGGAGATAAGAGCCTTCAGAACTTAAACTCAGGCCAGTCACCGAATCTGCATGGCCTCTCATGGTGTAAGTCAGCTTGTTTTGGCGCAGGTCCCAGACCTGCAAAATAAAAAGGTGCCCCCAGAAATCAAGTTGTGAACAGCAAAGGAATAAAATTACTGTACTGAAGAGTCAACCGACTGGAGAAATTGGTATCCCTTCTTAATCTGGCTCTCGACTAGGAATTACTTTATCACAAACTACAGAATTTCTACCAAACAGGAAAAACTCTCCTCTTTCTGAAAAGGGAGTCAAAGTTACTAATATATTTGATTAGATACAAACAAATCAATGTCAAATATTAAGGTAAAGTTTAACAAAAAATAATGGAATCAATAGAGGTTATTTCCTAATCATAACAAAATATATCAGAATTTAAAAAACTAAGTAGCATTTAAAATGCTTCAACTATGATTCTTAGCAAATAAAAACACACTATTATAACAATATAAAAACAAGGAAAAATGTAATATAAAGAGGCATTATTATGACTGCAAGTAAATTGTATATGAGATAATATGCAAAGATACAGAGCTCTAAAATTTTTAATTAAATGTCATAATACGTACATTTCAGTTGAAAATAACCTAATGTCAAACAGGGGAAAAAAACATGGTTTATTAAGTTATGGCTCATAAACACACTGCAACACTATGAGTTCTCATGGCTCGAGGTAGGATAGCAGAGTGGAAAGAGCAGAAATTTAGGGTCAGACTAAACCAGTCTTTGCTACTTAAAGAGTTACGTGTTACTGGCCACTAACCCTTTCAGAGTCTGTCTGGTCTGTAAGATGGGAATAGCAACATTTACTTCTTGTGGTAGTGCCAGGATGACAAATAGAATGCTTAGAAATATATGCCGGGCACATAGAAGGCCCCCAATAATTGGCAGCTTTCATTAAGCAACTCCTAAAAATAACTCTGAAGCTATTGAGCAAATATGGAAAATACAAAAGAGTATTCACATTTACATAGACTATAACTATGTGACGAATACATTGAAGCCAACAGAAATGATCCGAAATGCCATAGGAAAAGACAGCACCATGGCTGGTGTGGCTCAGTAGACTGAGTGCCGGCCTGTGCACCAAAGGGTCGCCAGTTTGATTTCCAGTCAGGGCATGTTCCTGGGTTGCGGGTCAGGTCCTTGGTGGGGGGTACACAAGAGGCAACCACACACTGACGTTTCCCTCCCTTTCTCCCTCCCTTCCTCTCTCTCTAAAAATAAATTAAAAAAAAAAAAAGAAGACGGAAAAAGAAAAAAAGAATACCAATTTCATTAGGGTCATTGGTATTATACATAATTTCCTCCAAATCTGATTTAATATTGCCATTTACCAATAGTTTTTCTAAGATTAAAAGAAAAAATTTGCTGTCCCTTTAAGCAAGGCACTTTCCTCGTCTAGAAATGAATTTGGTGTTCTATGTCCAAGCAATACACAAGGCAGACAACTCTGCTTCCCTATCAAGAGCTCATTCATGTGTGTAATCCAACATACTTTACATACAATCATTTTTTTCTATCAAGATGTGTACTGCATCAATAATCAGGAAAATTTAAAATGGCTGACATTTTTAAATTCAAGCTGTTGTTCCTCTTCTTCAGAGAAGGAACTGCTGAAACATTTAGCTTTGTAACAACCAAGAGAGAATGAAATTCACCATCCCTCTTAAGTGCTTGGGTGTTATTTCCAGACTTTCTCTATTAAACCCTGCACATATTGTTTGTACAGGGGCAATATGTATTTGGGGTTTGCCACAGAAAAAGTGAGTAGGGCACAAATTTAAGCAAAATACTTTGCAAATGTCTTAATCGACTATTTAGTGAAGATCTGGACATCTCATTAGTGGAAGGCACATGGAGATTAAAAAAAAAAAAAAGCCACAATCCCTGCTCTCAGGGAATTTTCAGCCTTGTAGAGAAAACAGACATGTAAATAAGTGATGAGAGGTCTGTACAAGGTGCAAGAGCAAAGAGGGCAGAGGGATTAACTCTCTTGTGGAACAGGGATGGGAGTGAGAAATGGAAGGTTTCACGAAGAATGAAGCACTTGGGCAGGGTATGAAAGAAGAAAGAAGAATTTTTTAGTTAAACAAAGTAGAAGAGTATTCTCAGGCAAAAAAAGAAAGGTGTAAAAGCAGAGGAGAATGAAGAAATTGCTGGGATATAGGGAATTTGACAAAGAAAGGCAATAAACAATGTCTGAGAAGTAGGCAGGCAGAAGCCAGATCATGAAAGGTTTTGAACACCTGGCGTGGACTTGATCTTCCTCACCAGGAACCACAGAAGCGTTCAAAGTAGTGGAATGAGTTGGTCAGACTTGTATTGCAGAAAAATGCTTCTGGCCCAGACAATCAAAAAGATGAGAGCAAAGGGAAACTGATGAAAATCTATTCGAACCCCTTAGTGACTACATTAAAAACAATAATTAACAACAACAACAACGACAACAAAACCCCATTAATTAAACTCCCATTTTGGAGCTCAGGATTATAAGCAATGCCAAAGAATTGCCAGCTAGCCCTTTATGCCATTGAGGAGAGGCACACTGTATTTTTTTTTTTTAATTCATTTTCCTGATACTCCAATCCTATATCCAGAGAGTCCACCCCAGGAGGTTGGGAGAAACAACATATTTGTTCACACACACAGACATGTTCCCCTCAGATTTTAAAAGGGGCTTTCCTGTTCCCTATTTGTTCCCACTTTCTTAGAATAGGTGGTATCGTCTAAGAGACTAAGAAGCAAACAAAAACCAGGTTCTCTCAGGATCACCTCCGAATGTAGTGAGGGAGTACACTTATTTGTCAAACAAGTCCCCAAGCCTAGTACCAAAAGTTACATATGGTATGATTCCATTTATATGATATTGTAGAAAGGAACTATAGGACAGAGAACAGATCAATGGTTGGTAGGGGTTAAGGATGTGGAAAGGGTTTGACAGAGAGGAGCACTGTGAAATTTTGGGGGGTGATGAAAGTTGTTCTGTACCCTGTTTGCAGTAGTTGCACAAAGCTACGCAGCATTAAAATTCATAGAACTGTACACTAAAAAAAGTTAATTTCACTGTATGAAAATTTAAATACTGACAGTAATACTAGTAATAATTTTAAAAGTACAAAAATTATCATAACTTAATGACACTAACCTACTTTAATGTGTATAAGCAGGCTTCTAGCAATTCTAATGCTAATGGGCTCCCAAACCTTACTCTGGGAAATACTGCATTAGCTATTAAGATGATCTAATTAAGTTCCCATGTTCTAATTCCACATTTTCCATATAGTTATAGGGTGGAAAAGTTGAATTTTTGAAATGGTGAATTCTGAAGTACTTATGAGACATCCAAATGGGGGATGCTGAGTAGCTGGTTGTATAGAGGGGTCTGAAGCTAAAGATCTGGTCTGGGAGTATGGTATAGTCATCAGCCAAGAGGTGACAAAGTCATGAAGTAGATGAGAACTTCCCAGGGAAAAGGTATGGAGTGAAAAGAACCCCTAGGAAATAACTGTGAAGAATGGTATTTAAAGAATACACAGAGAGACTAGCTCACAGAGGTGTTTGGGAAGAATATGTAAGAGGAGCAGAAGATTATATTGTCACTACCAGTTTAATTGAAAAAAAAAAAAAAGACTAAAAGAATTTACTGGATTTTTAAAATCCTTATCTAATATGTGTATTGATTTTAGAGAGAGGGGAGGAGAGAAACATTGATTAGAGAGAAACATGGACTGGTTGCCTTCTGTACATGCTCCAACCAGGGATCAAACTCACAACTTTTGGTGTATGGGGACAACACAGCAACCATTGGCAAGGAAGGATTTACTGGATTTAGAGATCACTGGTAACCTTGAAGAGAAGAGGGTTAATGAAACAATGGAGACAAAAGCCAAACTGCTGAGGAGTGATTGAGAGATACAGAATTGAGGAATGAAAGGGAGATAGGAATTAAAGACAGTGAGAGTAGAAAAATCCTCAGGGGATTTCCCACAGATACTAAAAGCATGACTCTCGAACCAAACTCTGAGGTTCCATTGCTATTAGCTATATAACCTTGGGTTAAATTGCTGTCTCTCTCTTGGCTCAGTTTCTTCCTCTATAAAATGGCATCAATGTACTTATTTTATAATGTTGTTGTGAATTATTAATTAAATGAATGAATAACATAAAGCTCTAAGAATTATGCTGGACAGAAAGTATGATGTAAGTGTTAGATGATCATATTATTATTATTATCATCACCACCATATTATCTTTCAAAAAGTTTGGCTGTGAAGGGGAAGATGGGTAGGACAGTAACAAGAGAATGCAGAACTGAGAGAAGATTCTCCACAACAACCCTGAGGTAGATTTATTATCATTACCCCTGATACACACAAGGGAAAACCAGAGGCTTAAAAAAGTTAAAGGACTTGCTTGAAGTCACAAAAAATTAGAAATGGTGGAACTGGAATTAGAAGCCAAGTCTTGAAAGCTTGAACTGCACTGTACTGCCACATGATCTACTGCCCCTTTCTACAACAGCATTACTGTCTCTCATTCTCAGTTACATACTCTCCACAACTCCCTTCCCATAGTTTAAAAAAAAAAAAAAAAAAGACACACTGAGAGATTAGGGTAGAGAAGCACCCTAACTGATCCACTGCTATCTCATTAGGCCAGTGGCAGTTGAAAAGAAAAGAAGGAAAAAAAAAAGGTTTTGCATGTCTTTAGGCAGGAAATGCGCTCTTCATTTTCAGAGTGACTCCGCAGGGACTTCACACTTCTCATTAACTGCCTGGTCCCTGACAGCACTTCATATGAGCAGCCCTTGTGTTAGGAAGTCAATGAGGATAGGACAGAAAGAAAACAAGATCTAAATTACTATCTTCCTTTTCACTGGGACTAAGTGCATGCTACCACAATCTCAGAGGTTTGAAAAGATTCACCTCTGTGAGTAAAGATAGTGAAAAGCAAATGTAACATAAACACCAAACATACCTTGATATCATTGTCTATTCCACCAGAAATAATCTGGTCACTTGTGTCATTGAAGGTCACAGCTAACACCTGGTAGGTATTCTGAAATGTCTGGATGGCTGCTTTCTTCCGGATGTCCCAAAGCTGAAGCAAAAAAGAGGAAAGTCTATGTTAACAACACTCCAAGAAGTAACTGCATAATATACTCCTTGGTCCAAGGACTTTAAAGAGGTGAACCCATTTCTAGAAGCATCCAATTCAGAAACTTCTCTGGGTATCCTAGTTACACGGTGAGAAGTGACCACAATTTTGCCAGGGTATCTATCTGAAGGTTGGTGAAACAAATCATTTTGATTATATCTTCAGAGTCCTCTGTTAAAATTTAAATACATATAGTTAATCAAATCCTCTACCTGCTCAGTTCATATATCCTTAGCACAGCAAGAATATCAGACCAGTGCTTTTAAACAGTAGATCCTACCTTATTAGTAGGCTGCAACTTACATTTAAAAATATATACACAGAGAAAATTACATCAGCAAAAACTGCAGAGTAGGAAATACTAAAAGACTGTCCCTCTACAAAAGCAGAGAATTACCTACCAAAACAACTAGCAGAATCAACTTTATCAGAACTCTAGAAACGAATCAAAAGTTTACAGCAACTGGGCTATTAAAAACCGACAACAAAACACAAACCACCTGAGTCTTAGGAAGAGTTTGTAGTGTTTTAACTTGCTTTGGTTCTATCTCCCGAACTCAGCAATACCTTTAAGGACAATAGCCCATATTCCCAATATAGGTTCCTGGTATAGGAGGGAACAGAATGGACCTTATTCCTTAAAGAACTGTAGTTGTTTTTACCTGTCTGGTGTCTCCCTGAAGAATGGGCTCAAAGGGTTTTCCTTTATTCTGCCTAACCTGGAATTCTCCTAGGCCAGAGGTGTTTGTCCAAAGCATTTACAGACAAATGCCATCAACCTCTGCTGGCTGGGGCAAACAAAAGGCAACCAAACAGCCAGGGAGGAAAGGTAGAGGAATGAGACAATTTGGAAAATGAGGGAGACTTTGAAAAGCCTACATGTTCCTGGGACTTTAACAGGTAGTTTGCATACCTATAGCTGGGCACATGCTCAGAAAAAGACCTGAGAAGGCCGTATGCTCTGACCCAGACTCTGTATAAGCAGGAAGAGAAGACTACTGCAGAGTCGTAAGCTGCCAGGCTGCAAGGTGAAGGCAGGCCCCAACACACACACGCACACACGCGCGCACACTCTCTCTCTCACACACACACACACTCTCTCTCTCTCCAAAGACTGAGAGAGTTTCTTCCCCCCCAGGTGATTAAGGAAATCTTTGCTGAACCATTAGCAAACTACTAAGCTAATGAAACAGAGAATTCAGTGGTCATACACAACTTTACAAAATTATATCAGAAAATGCATTAAACAAATAATGGTTTCAAAAAGCATTAACAAACCTTGAGGAGAATCTAATTTCCAAAGTTGCCATATTATCATATTCAAACATCCTGTTCTCCACAAAAAAAGTATGAGGCATGAAAAAAGCAAAAATCTATGGCCTTTCAGTAGAAAGAAATGAACATCTTTTCAACAAAGTGTGCTGGGACAATTGGATAACCACATGCAAAGAAATGAAGCTAGATCCTTACCTCACACCATATGCAAAACTTAAGAGTTGGGTCAAAGACCTAAATGTAAAAGCTAAAATTATAAAATTCTTAGAAGAGAACATTGGGGTAAATCTTCATGACTGTGGATATGGCAATGAGTTATTAGATGTGACACCAATATTTTAAAATATTTTATTTATTTAAGAATAAAAAATTACCCAAGATTAAAGATGAGGACAGAATCTTAAAAGCAGCAAGAGAAGAGGAGACAGCTACCTACAAAGGAGTTCCCATAAGACTATCATCTGATTTCTCAAAAGAAACCTTACAGACAAGAAGGGGATGGAAAGTAGTATTCACAGTCATGAAAAGTAAGGACCTGCATCCAAGATTATTCTATCCAGCAAAGCTAACATTTAGAATGGAAGGGCAGATAAAGTGTTTCCCAGATAAGGTCGAGTTAAAGAAGTTCATCATCACCAAGCCCCCCCCCCCTTTTTTTAAAAAAGATTTTATTTGTTTTTTAGAGAGAGGAGAAGTGAGGGAGAAAGAGAGGAGAGAAACATCAATGTGTAGTTTCTCCTCATGCACCCCCTACTGGGGACCTGGCCTGCAACCCAGGCATGTGACCTGACTGGGAATCAAACCAGTGACCCCTAGTTCTGCAGGCTGGCAATCAATCCATTGAGCCACACCAGCCAGGGCTCCAAGACCTTATTATATGAAATGGTAAAGGGATTTATCTAAGAAAAAAAGGAGATTAAAACTACATACAGTAAAATGACAACAAACTCACAACTATGAACAACTGAATCTAAATATCACAACTGAACCTAAAAAAAACAAAACCAAAACCAAAAACTTAGCAAACAACTAGAACAGGAACAGAAACACAGAAATGGAGATTACATGGATGGTTATCAGTGGGGAGGGGAAGGGGGGAGAAGGAGGGAAAAGGTACAGGGAATAATAAACATAATTGGTAGGTACAAAATAGACAGGGAAAATAGTTAAGAATAGTATAAAAAATGGAGAAGCCAAAAGACTTACATGTATGACCCATGGACATGACTAAGGTGGGGGCGGGGATTGCTGGAGGGAAGGGAGTACAGGGCGCAGGTGGATAAAGGGGAGGAAAAAATGGGACAAGTGTAATAAATAATCAATTTATTTATTGATTAATACTTTTAAGAAGGGGGGGAAAACTTGTACATCAAAGGATAGACTCAAAAAAGGAGAAAATATTTGCAAATCATGTATCTGATAAAGGTCTAGTATCCAGAATAAAAAACTCTTATAACTCAGCAACAATACAAAAAGCCCAATTAATACATGGGCAAAGGACTTGAATAAATTTTTCTCTTCAGGAGATGTAACAACAGACAATAAGCCCATGAAAAGATGCTCAACATGATAAATCACTTGGGAAATACAACTCAGAGCAGTAATTAGGTACCACTTCACACTCACTAGGATGGTAATAATAATTACAGACCTACATAGAAAAATAACCAGTGTTGGCTAGGATGTGGAGAAATTTGAACCCTCATACATTGCTGGTGAGAATGTAAAATGATGTGACTGCTATGGAAAACTTTGGATGTTTCCCGAAAAGTTAAATATAGGCCCTGGCTGCTGTAGCTCAGTGGCATGAGTGCCACCAAGGGGTCTCTGGCTTGATTCCGGTCAGGGCACATGCCTGGGTTGCGGGCTGGGGCCCTGGTTGGGGGCATGCAGGAGGCGACCTATCAATGCTTCTCTCCCACACATTGATGTCTCTCTTTCTCCCTTCTTTCCTCTCTCTCACAAAAAACCAAAACAAAATCTTTAATAAAAAGTTAGCCCTGGTTAGTGTGGCTCTGTGGATTGAGCACCTGCCTGCAAACTGAAAGGTTGCTGGTTCAATTCCCAGGGGACAAGCCTGGGTTGCGGGCCAGGTCCCTCGTTGGGGGGCATGCGAGGGGCTACTGATCTGTGTATCTCTCGTGCATTGATGTTTCTCTCCCTTTCTCCCTTCCCCTCTAAAATAAATAAAACCTTAAGAAAAATAAAAAATAAAAGTTAAATATGTAATTACCATATGACCCAGCAATCTCACTTCCAGATATATGCCCGAGAGAAAATAGGTGTTCAGTTATACATGAATGTTTATAGCAGCATTATTTACGATAATTTTTTAAAAGTAGAAAAAACCCCCAATATACATCAACAACTGATGAATGAACAAACAAAAGGTGGTATATCCATACAATGGAATATTATTTAACTGTAAACGGAAAAAAACTAGAGGATACAGAAGGCCACATACTACTTGATTCTATTTACAGGAAATGTCCAGAATCAGCAAATCCAGAGACAGAAAGTACCTTAATTGTAGGCAGGGGCTAGAAGGTAGAGGAAAGTAGTGACTCCTTAATAGCTACAGGGATTATTTTGGGGGGTGATAAAAATGTTCTAGTACTGGATTGTGGTGACAGTTGCACAACACTGTGAACGTACTAAAAGCCTCACTGAATTGTATGCTTTTAAACGTGGTTATAATGGTAAATTTTATGTGAATTTTACCTCGATTTTAAAAAATGATAGAAGGTACCAGAGAATGTCACATTTAGAAAGAGGTAGTTATTTAAGTAGACGTAATAAGGGGGATATACACTGGGTCATAGTACAAAAGGTATTCCTTAAAGTGGATCATTACTTTAAGTGTTTAGAAGTTATTGTACTTAGACCATCTCATTTAACCTCAACTTTTATAGATGAGAAAACTGAAGCTCAAAGAAAATGACTTACAGAGCCCTTAGCGAGTCAAGAACAAAGGGACTAGAATTTAGTACTGATTCTGTTAATATTGTATTAACTTAAAAGTATTAGAATGTGGGAATTATAATTACTATAGTAATATATGCTTATTTTAAAATTAAACATTTATTTAAATGGCTGCTTGATTTATTAATAATAGGTGAGGGAGATGAAGATTAGGTATAAAAACTCTAGAACTCCATACTCTAACTAAGCAATTTGGTTCTATTTTTAAAAAGAACTTGTAATACAACATGGGGCCACACTTCTAAAGTGCATACAATAGAGAGGGCCTACAGATGTTTCAATAAATGACTGACAGATTTGAGAAGACAAACCATGAAGAAATGTTTTAGGAGCATGAGTCATTTCATTGAAAGAGGTCTTTGTGGGGTAGCTGTTCCAAGTTTTAAAGGGCTCTCACAAAAGAACAGGATCAGCCATGGACTCTTAGTAAAGGCCATGGGTTTAAATTTAATCCTGTGGTAAACAAGTAGAGTCTGAGTTGTCACTGAGATGCCTCTTCTTCCCAATTTTTGGAATTTAAGATGAATAGTGGCTTCCACTTCATTCATGGAAACATGAGCTATAAAGGCTTAGGTTGCTGTCACTCAGGTAAGTCCAAAAAGAGTGCTTCATTCCTCTTCCAGAGACCCAACCGCCAGCTCCTGCCCGTCTACTCCTCTGGCTACAGAGTCAAGTTCAAATGTCTTAGTTTAGAAATGAAGGCCTTGTTAATCTTGTTCCAAATAGCTTACCAGACTTACTACGAGCTTTGTCTTAGGAATCTCTACTCAGGTCAAATCAACCTTTATCTAAAAACTATGATAAAGTCTGATTTAAATATTTTAGAATTTTAGTTCCAGACAATCATAATTTTTTAAAAAAGTATTTTGAAATATTCACCAACTTACAAAAACATTGAAATTGAGAGAACCTTTTTCTGCCTAAATCATTTGAGTGTTGCTGATGTAATGCCCCATCACTCCTAAAATATTTTATTGTGTTTCTCTTACAAAGATGTTCTACATAATCTCAATACAAATCAGAATTAAGAAATTAACACTGATACATTACTATGATCTGATCCTCGGATTTCATTCAAGTTTCACTACTTGTTCCAATAAGGACACTGAAAGTTCAAACTCGTATGTTGAATTTATCTGCCATGTTTCTTCAGTCTCCTTCGGCCTAGAAGAGTTTTTCAGACTTTCCTTGAGTTTCATCATCTTGACACTTCTCAAAATTACAGAGAATTATTAAGAATGTTCTTCAGTTTGGGTTTACCTAATGTTTACTTATGATTAGATTTAAGTTATGCATCTTTGGAAGAAATATCACTGAAGTGATGTTGCATTTTCACGGTACCCTATTGAGTGACTCAGAATTTTGATTTGCCCACTGCTAATAAAGCTCAATTTGATCATTTGATTAAGATGTTCTTTTGACAAGCTTTCTTGCCTAAGAAATTTAAGGTGCATCTAGTATGTTCTTGTCTGGTCCTGAAATAAGAAGTCCTGGTTCCTTTTAGTAGCAAAATGGTCTTTAAAGCCAAGACCTGGACAGTAGGTATGCTCATTGCTCAGGGTGTTGTGATTCCTAAACCCTCTCAATGGGCAGTTAGAAAACATAGGTATACACACACATCTCCATCTATTTTTTTTCTATACCTACCTGCTTGTATATTGAATGTCAGGAGTTCACATTGATACTTTCAATTTGACACCAACAACACAAGATGTATTTTAGTTCTCTCTTTTAGGATTGGTAACTCCTTTCTCTAATAGTAAGAAATCTATCTCCCATTATACTTACATGTATTTATTTGATCAAGCTTCCTGTATGCAACCAACCTCCCATATCCTCTTCCATCCTTCCCCTGCATGGATTTCCTCCTTTTCCTGCTTGAACTGTGATTCCCATTCTCGGCTGACTCTATGTGGACCCCTTCCCTCACCCCACTTAGGTCATCCTTCTGTATGAACGAACATTCTCTTCATTCTGCTCAGGCTCTAATACCCTCTCTACCCCTCCCTTCCCCAGGGATGCCATCTTCATCCTGCCAACCTACAGACTCCCTACCTGAACGGTTTCCACCCTTTGTGGGCACCATCAGCTCAGGCTCTTAAACCCACATTGTCTCCTCAAACAATGTGCAGGTGATCCTTTTACCCCACTAGGGCACTGACTCTCCAAGCTTGGCAGTTTCCATTCCACACACCCCCCCACCCCCGCGCCAATTCCCCACATTGAGATACCTATCCCGTGTTGTGTGGATGCCCTCCTTATCCTACTCAGTCTCCGTCTCCCTACACTGGACTGCCCTGTCCTGTGTGGATGCTCTATTTAGCTCCCCTGGCTCTTACACACTACTCTGGGCCACTCTGGCCCACGCTCCACCTCTCACTCAAACATATTCCCTGCTTTGGTCTACATAATGAAGCTAGGACTGAACTGTTTGTGAAATGGAACAATTTATTTGTGCACACACATGATTTCACTTGACTGCCTTATTAAAAGACAGAATGAACTGCTCAAAACAGCTTGAAAACTACTAATATGGATAATGCTCAGGATACCACGTCTAGACTGAAAATGCAAGACTTGCTGAAACCTTTGCTTTCTATTGAGCACTCTTACAAGTAAAAAGCAACCTGATGTTTTTCCTTTAGATAAGCGGCGGTTACTAAATTCCTGTACTTTTAAACCTAGTGCCAGAAAATAGTAACACAAAAGCATTCCAACTTGACAACTAAAAAGTCTATGTAAAAGACAGTGAAGCATTCATTATAAATATGTGGAAATTTAAAATAAGGAACTGGTTAAAAAGCAGTCACCTTTAGGCAATGTGACTTACTGCCTAAATAGTCAATTGATCTTTGACAAAGGAGCAAACACAATGGAGCAAAGATAGTTCTTTCAATAAATGGTGCTTAAACAGCTGGATATCCACATGTCGAAAAATTAATCTAAACACAGACCTGACGCCCTTCACAAGAATTAACTCTAAATGGATCACAGATCTAAATGTAAAACATAAAATATGAAACTCCTAGAATGTACCATAGGAGAAAACCTAGATGACTGTGGGTATGGCAATGACTTTTTAGACACTATACCGAAGACACAATCCAGGAAGAAAAATAACTGATAAGCCGGACTTCATTAAAACTAAAAACTGCTGCTCTATGAAAGACAGCATCAAGAGAATGAGAAGTCAAGCCACAGACTGAAAGTATCTGCAAAAGACACACCTGATAAAGGACTGTCTATATACAAAGAACTCTTAAAGCTCAATTATAAGAAAACCACCAACCTGATTAAAAAAATGAGTTAAAGATCTTAACAGATGCCTCACCAAAAAAGGTATACAGATGACAAACAAGCATATGAGAAGATGATCCACAGTATATGTCAAATTAAACTGACAATGAGTTACCACTACACATCTATTAGAAAAGCCAAAATCCAAAAACTTGACACCAAATGCTGATGAGGATGCAGAACAACAAGGACTCTCACTCATTTGCAAAATGGTACAGTCACTTTGGAAAATAGATTGGCAGTTTCTTACAAACTAAACATACTCTTATCATACGTTCCAGCAGTTGCACTCCTTGGCATTTACCCACAGGTACTGAAAATGTAGGTCTACACAACCTGCACGTGAATGTTTACAGCAGCTTTATTCATAATTGCCTACTCTTGGAAGCAATAAAGATGTCTTTCATTAGGTGAATCCATAAATAATGGAACATTATTTAGCACTAAAAAGTAATGAACTATCAAGCCATGAAAAGACATAGAGGAATCTTAAATACGCATTACTAAGAGAAGCGAATCTGAAAAAGCTATATATACTATATGATTCTAACTATATGACATTCTGAAAAGGCGAAATTAGGGAGATAGTAAAAAGATCAGTGGTTGCCAGGGCCATGGAATGGATGAACAGACAGAGCACAGAGAATTTTTAGTGCAGTGAAAATACTCTGTATAATACCATAGTGACGAATACAGGTTGTTATACGTTTGTCCAAACCTACTGAATGTACATCACTAAAAGTGAACACTAGTGTAAACTATGGATTTTGGGTAATTATGAGTCATTGTAGGTTCATCAGCTCTAACAAATGTACCACTCTGGTGCAGGAGGATGTGCATATGTGGACAGTGGGTATAGGGGAAATCTCTGTACCTTCCCTTCTATTTTGCTGTGAAACTAAAACTGCTCTAAAAATAAAGTCTTAGTTTTTAAAAAACCTCATTTCAGATCTACTGAACCAGAATCTAGGTATTTTTTAACATGTTCTTCGGCTGATTCCGATATGAACACAGTGAAAATCATTGGACTAAATGACCTTTGAGATCCCATCCTGTGTTACTAAACCACATACTGACATTTTTATATACTGACTAACTTCACAACGGCCTTGTAAGATGTGTATACCACTGTCACCACCGTAAAGATTGAGAAACTGAGGATAAGAAAGGTGAACTGCCTAAGATCACACAATTAAGTAAACCGCTTAGCCAATAATCCAATTCAGGCAGTCTATTTTATTCCAAATCACGATGGTCTGATTTGATTTTAATATTATACTGTAGGATACATAACGTGTCTATTTTGAGAAGTAACTGCTAAAACAAAGTTGTGGTGAGAATACAGCACAGAGGGTAAGGCAAGATAGGGTTCATATCATGTCACCTCAGAAACTGCAACACTCAGAAAGACAACAACACCCACCTTAACTGTACCATCATCACTGCCAGTGCAGACAAGCTGGGGGCCCCTCCTGGCCGGGTAACAGGAATTCACAAAGGAGGTATGTCCCTTCAGCCTTTTAACCCTTTCGCCTGTTTCACTATCCCACACTGCCACAGTTTTATCTGTGGATGCTGAGAAGAGCATACTAGAAGGTAAGGAAGAACAAAAAAGAAATAAGTGAATAAACACCAGTAGTCTATCTTTCCCACTTACTAAAATGTACCAAATTCTTTAAGATCACTGACACGTTGTCCTCTGACAGTTAGGCACACAATGCTAGAATGCCTGCCTCATCTTCCCAACCAAAATCCTACTGGTGCTTTAGACCCCGGTTATAAGGTCTACCCTAGTAAAAAAAAAAAAAAATTTCCTTCTATCAGTCCCCAAATGAAATAGTACCCATTTAATACAGCACTTTTGTCAATCTTTTCCTCCTTCATGAGAGACACCACTTAAACATAAGACAATCTCCCACTTGGAAATGTTTAATTACTCTTTGCTGCGTAAGTAAGAGGAACTAGAAATTCCTAACCCAATGGCTCAGCAACTCCGACCCTTTCTCTAAAAATCAAAGTTTTAATTTTGTCTCTGAGGATAATTCCTAAGTTATTTTATAAGGCTTTCTTTACTCAAATATTAATAGGAAAAGTGTATACAAGGCTATGCACCAGCTGATTCAGGGGACCCTGAGGTTTTAGAGGTCGAAGGTGTAAAACATTGACTATTTACTGAAATGTCTAATGGGATTAGATACATTTGTATAAACACATTCCTGTTATCTGGTTATTCTAAAATTATGCATTCATTAAAATGTTTATAATAAATAGTATGTTAAGACAGATATATTAGGTGAATAGGGTTTAAGGAAAAAAAGCAGCAGCAAGATTGTAAACATAGCTCATAAAAACCACACAGTTTTGAGTAGGAAAAAAGGCTTGAGAAAAATGTATCATAATTTTAACAGTGATTATCTTTGGACTGGTAGGAATATGGCTTATTTTTTCATTGTTCTGTTTTTGAACTTCTCAAAACAGTATTTTCTTACTTTTATGTTAAAAGAGCTAATTTCTACATAAGATTATTTTGCCTTAAGAAAACAAGTTTGTTTGCGATGTTGATATGATAGGTGACAGAGGTGATGTACTGATAAATGCCTACATGGAACAGTAAACACCTTTCTTGGCGTGACAGTGATAAAAATCAAGTAATTTCCCAAACATAGCAGTTTTTGAAGGCATGGTCTCCTGAGAGAGAAAACTCAAGGATGAAACGTGAAAGGATACCAAGAAGAATTAGTGGAAGCAGCAGCTGTCATTCCACCATGCAGAATACTCACCTGCCATCTGTGTTATAATGCAGTTCCATCACTGCTCCACTGTGTCCCTTCAATGTTGCATAGTTATCACAGTCACCATAGACATTCCACAACACTGTTAGGGAGACAGGGGTTCTGTGAGCATTACCAGGCAAAAAGAAATTTAGTACTGGCCATGGAAGGGGTACTTAGGAATTTACCAGAACAACAGTTCTGAAATGACAGTCCCCTGGAACACTATTGGTTCTATCAGCTGGACCAATTTTCCTGATGCTGTTAACACAAATAATGCATTTTAACATTTTATAAGGTACAACAGTTAGTGGATATAATTTTTTAAACCTTAAGTTATTTTCCTATAATATTTAAAAAGTTGACACTCACTCTTGCTTGTCTCTTACAGTGGCGCTTATGGAAAACCTAGGAAGCTGCAAATGACTTGAAGGTCACATGGCCACGGCTATATTACAATTCAATCCACATGTACTAAGCACCTATAACATACCAGGTGCTGGGGTAAGATGAGATAAATGAACAGACACAGTTCCTATCCTCAGGGAGCTTGCTCTAGCAAGGAGTAAAGTTTAATGAGAATTACTAAGGAGTACCTCTTTACATAATAAGGTACATATATATAGTAGTTTTTTTTTCTTGCTAATATAACAATTTCTAGTTTGTTCAATAAAATGAGGCATATCAATAACTCAAGGAAGTTCTGCAAAGATACTTAGGCCTTCCAGATGCTTGACCACCAGAAAAGTTTAAGGGTCATAGAACTAGAACACCTAAATCAAAACAGTGAACACCTAAACTACAACACTTAAACAGTTATCACCTACCCTGAGGTAGGGTTACAAGCAAAGAGCTAAAGGACTCATTTCATCTCACAATGCAGCAAATGATGCCAGAAGAAATAAAGTCAGAGGCCTCTTTTGTTATCTTCTTTGTCACTTTTTCTCACGACTCTCCCAAAGTGATTTTTTCCTACTTATTTCTTGAAAATGGGTGTTTCTGACTAGTAGCTGGGAATCTGGTAGCAGATCCTAATGATGTACAGGTAGACTGACCAAGTGAGTTGCCATTTTAAGATGCTCCCCTCCTTCCCATATGCTAAGATTCTAAGAGTGAATCAAGAGGAGGGCCTCTCACCTTTGGGGAAAAGAAAAGTTATCTCTCTCTCCACTACTCCCATTAAGCTGTTAAACATAGAATTCTTTTCTTGCTTAATCAGCTCAAGAACTGCCTCCATGAGGAAGATATTCTCAAACTAGAGCGATTCACTTTCCAACTAGGAACATAATTCCTTCTGTATTTACCAGTTGGACCCCAAGTTCTACAACCAAGACCATTTGTATTTTCATGACCCTAATTTAACATGTTAGCCATGTTATGTGATCAGACTGGTATCTACTGTGGCACCAAAGATTTAAAAAAAATAATCATTATTTGGCAGAGAGCGCAATTACTCCAAATTCAAGAACGATGCCTTACATATCAGTCGGTCAAATCCTGCAGATGCTAAGGTGGATCCACTGGGGTGAAACTTGCAGCAGTACACTTCCCCTTCATGTCCTGAGAGAAGCATGATTGGGGCTTGAAGAGAGGAACACCTTGGAGGCCCCTAAACAAAAAAGAGACATACAGAGTAGTTATTGGATACCAGGAAAGGAAGCTGAAAAACTGGGGGAGGTGGTGTAGGAAAAAGACAAGGGAAACAATGAGTGGATTTATCTGGATTTAGAGAATTACAACTCTTTTCACATGTGTGCTTCCATGTGCATGCTCTCCTGCTGAAGTTTCCAGTGTCTGCCTATTTCAGTAGCTTCCCCCCCACCCCCCCGCCGCCCTCACTCAGCTCCTGTCCTATAGTCGATCTTTAACTGCTCCAACATGTTAAAACTCATTTCTTAAGGACTCATGGACAAAACCAAAGGGGAAGAGCTGAGGGAGGGAAGGTGGGAGGGGGCAAGGGAAAGAGGTGGGGGGGAGGCAGAGACAAATGTATTTAAAAAGTAAATAAATAAAAAATAAATAAATCATCATAAAAAAAAAAACAACAACTCATTTCTGTCTCAGGATCTTCACACGTGTTGTCCCTGACAGGAATCCCCTTCCCATTAAATCTTCCTGTGTTCGGCTCCTTTCAAATGTTTCCTGTTCAGAGAGTCTTTCCTCACTCACTCAAACTCAGGCAGTACCCATTCTCCCCTCTGTACCCCTCTCACCCTACTGTATCCCCTCACAGTACTTCTCATGACCTGAAATTACCCTCCTTCTGTATGTGTTTACATATTTTGCCTTTTTTCTCACCAGAAAAGCTCTGCGAATAGAGGGATCCTGCCTGTGGCACTCAACACTATTTTCCCAATCTCTAGCTCATTTAACAAATGAACAATTGCACTGAGTTTCCCAACAACAATGCAGGGGACAGATTACTGGGAAAGGTCCTTTTGACTAGGGTCTTGACATTAAGTCTAGGCTTGGGCAATATGCTGGAACCTGGACTGATATTCTTACTTGCCAGATAGACGAACAAGTACATTATCGATAATCCCCAAATCTCTTTAGTAGTTTCCGGTTTATTCATTTATTTTTAAAATAGTATGTGCCAGACACTGGGAAAATAAACAAAATTTGTGTTCAGTGGATTGCAGAAAGAGGGAGGGAGAGAAAACAAGTAAAGCTTACAGATGGTGGTATGTGCTACGAAGAAAAACAAAGCAGTACTATGAATTAGTGGGCACAGGGTATTGCAATTTAAAGGGGATCAGGAAAGCCCTAATTAGAAGTGGCATTTGAACAAAGATTTGGAGGAGCTGAGTATGTAAACCATATGAACACTTGGAAGAAGAGTATTCTAGCAGAGGGAGCAGCAAATGCGAAGGTTTTCAGGCAGGAACATTGAAACCAGTGTGACTAGAACAAGTGTGAGCAATGGAAAATTGGCAGATCAGAGAGGTAAAAGCAAAAAGGACAAAAGGTTGTAAGGATTTTGGTTTTACAGTGAGTGAAGTGGAAAGCCACTTCAGTTTTCAGCAGAGGGTAACATAATCTTTTGTTTAGAAGGATTCTTCTGGCTGGACTGAGAGCAGGTTGACCATATAAGAGCAGGAACAGGAATACCAGACGACCCTACTGCAATATTGCCAGGCGAGATAGTAATAGCTCAGATGAAGAGCTAAGATGGAGGTGGTCGAAGTGGTAGCAATTGTAGCTATCTTTTGAAAACGGTGCCAGCTGGATTTGCTGACTGGCTGCTTGAGGAGTTGAGAGCCAGGACATGTATTTCTTTAACTGAGCCTAATAGCACAGGAGAGGTGTGATCACTACTTCTATCTTACAAGAAATGCAGTAAAGAACATAGGCTCTGGGTTTTAAATGTTTCTATCATTACTAGATAAGTCTGTTTTCCCATACACAAAATGGATAACAGTTCTACTAACTCTTTAGAGTAATGGAGTTTTTTTGTATTTTTTTTTAAAGGCATTTAGTACAAAGATTCAATGAATGCTAACTATTCTTCCGCTGTTGTTAGTAATAGTGTAGGAAATAAAGGGAAAAGCAACTTGCCCAAGGTTCCAACGTGAGCTAGTATCATTTCCTTCCTTCCCTTCCCTCATTCATTCATTCACTCATTCTCCATCCACCCACTCTACAAACTTTTCTGAATGTTTATTTTACGCCGAAACCCCGGAAGACTGAGAATGCAAAAACCATGGTCTCGATTTTAAGCTCAATATCCTTAACTTTAATTTTAACGCCACCTCACAGGAAGGTCGAGACGCTGAAAACGGGAGTCAAACAGGGAAGGACGGAATATCCGCAGGGTGTCGGCCACTTTTACAGTGTGTTTCTGCTCTAACTCCAGGTAGAGATTCTCGTTCCGCCCTGCAGTGCGGGGGAAAGGACCGGTGTGGGATCACCCTGTGCAGCGCTTAGGAGAGAGATGGAAGATGAGCTGAGGGCCGAAGGCCGCCTACTTCACTCACCGCTTGCAGCAAAGCTCCCGGCGCCGCCTGCTGCTGTCCCGCTCCGGGGCCCGACCCCGCGGCTCCCAAAAGCAACTCATGCCGCTGCCTCTTGACTGGAACCAGCGGTAACTCTGGACCCTTACGCTTCTGTTGTTCTATCATGGCGGCAGCCCTCTTCCCAACACCGCCACGGACCGCGCTGACACTCTCGGGCACCGCACGATTGGTTACGACTTAGTCCTTCCCCTAGAACTTCCGGCTTGGAGAAACCAATCGGCTTCCCATAGTCCCCCTTGCAACGCCGCCCTGGATGGTCTCCGGTTACTGGTCAACTCTTTCTGATGTCACCTTAGTACAATTCCAGGATTGGTGGAGGGAGCTGGAGTCCCGCCTGGGCACGCTGTGTCTTGTGGGTGGAAGCGCGCTGACTGGATTTTGGCGTTCCGAGCAATGCTGCGGCGGGGAGACCGGGACCGGACGCCCAGTAAGTGTGAGGAAGGTCGGGGGCGGGCGGCTGCGGAATCTAGAGGCGGTCCCTCGGTTGTGCGGTGTGAGCCCGGACCGTCTCAGCTGAAGTTTTAATTGCAACGGGTAGAGGTGGGCCCAGGTAGTCCAGCTCGGGTATGCGGCAGCCTGGGTTGCCCTTCTAGGCTGGAGCAGCGCTTTGGGGTCTCTGTGGTTGTCGGCGGCCAACGACGGCCGACTTGGGCGAGCGCCTACCGTGCTCCGCCGTGTGCCAGGCGCTCCCAGGTAGAAAAGGCCCGTCTCCCAGCTTCCATTAGGGTCCTGTTTGAGGAGGCCGACTTGTTTCTGCAAGCCTTTTACTAGGGCCTGCGTTGTGCCCTGTGAGAGACAGAGAGGAAAGAAATGTTCCACTCCTGTCTCTCCAGAGCACAGTCTCGTTGAGAAATTTAGACTCATGCCTGTGTCCTGCGCCTTCTCCTTAGTGGTCCAACTGATATTTATTGCGCAAAGCGTGAAGGATACATTGTGGACCAAACATGGTCCCTGACCTCAGGGGTTTGAGTCTCGTGGGGAAAACATGTTAAATAAAGCATTTCACTAAGAAATGTGACATACGTGCGACCTAGGAGAGGCACCTGATGTTTTGAGTGCCTGAAATAAGGAGGAAGACTCCTCCGAGGGAAGGATACCTGAAGAGATACCTGAAGGAAGAATTCTAATTAGGCCGGTGAAGAGAGGCAGACTCTTCCATATAAAACAACGTGTGCAGAGGCGCTGTGACAATGGGAGGACACTGACCAAAAAGCACAGAAGCCAGTGTGACCAGTACGAAGAGAATGAAGGGGAAATGAAGGGGAGTACGGTACAAGCTGAAGCTGGAGGCGGGTAGAGGTCAGACCTTACAAGACTTTGTAGCTTTTACTAGAAGATTGACGCGGGGGCGGGGGCGGGGGGCGGGGGAGTCGTGGGGGGTGCGTGCGTGCGTGTGTGTGTGTTTGGCTTATTTTTGATGAGGAGCGGGTGGTGTGCTGAGGGAGAGGGCTTGATCCCTCAGGGGCTCAGCAGTGTGAATAAATGGAGGAGAGATAGATGCATTTAGGTGAGAGCTTTTGGCAATGAGGACTGAGATATTGGTGGAACTGCAGAAAGTTGGACAGATTCTAGAGATTTATAGGAGTTAAAATCAAGAGCATTTAGTGATGGATTGGAGTCAAGGAGTGAAAAGAGAGGACTTCCATGTAACTCCTAGGTTTCTGGCTTATGGCAATTGCATAATTGTTTTGGGGGGGGGTGCATGGGAAAGGAGAGGTCATCCTGACGTCCAGAAGGCAGTTTGAAATATGGTGTTGGAGCTTAGGAAAGAGATTTAAAAAAAAAAAAAAAAAATATATATATATATATATATATATATATAAATAAAAATTTGGGAGTAATTTGGATTTGGTGGTAATTGAGCCATAGGTGTGAGTAAGCATCTAAGTCAGAACCTTGAGTAGTTCTAACAACTAATGGCCAAGAACAGGCGCATGAGCCTACAGGAGAGAGAGAAGAAAGCTAGAGAGCAGGATCAGAGGAATGTAGTCAGAAGCCAGGAGATGGTCTGTGTCAGAAACTCCTGGAATTTGTAAAGACGGTGGGAGGATGTGGAAGGGAAAGGGGGTGGGGGTCACCACGGATCCAGTTGAGAGTGATAAAGAAATTGAGTTCACGGGAATGGATGGGATCCAAAGTGTAGTTACAGGGAGCAGCCTTAGGAAGATGGACAATTTCTCCATTTAACAGAAAGGAAGCAGGAAATGAAGGCAGTAGATATATGTTGGCTGTTTGTTTGGTATTGGTGAAATGAGTTCTTTTCTCATGACTTTTATTTTCTCTACAAAGTACAAGATGGACTCATACACTTAGACAGGAGGTCAGAGATTGGAGAAAGATTGGGAAATCATAGAGTGTGGCAGAATAGTTCACCAGAGAAATGTAGATATCGCAGAATTAAGAGCCCATTTGAAGTTGGAGATCATAATTTTCTTCCAGCAATATTAGGCTATTTTGTGCAGTCATGGAGACAGTATACCCATGTATGGAAGGGACTGTGGATTTGATTTGCTTAACACACATTCCCATCTCTAATGTGCCTTCTCTTACTGAAAATTCTGGGATACTAAAAATAATCTCTGGGACTCCTTTGCACCTAAGATGGGAATTGAATATTGAACTGAGTTAAGTGTGGAGATAAGGGTGAGAAGCATCCAGTTTTGCTGGCAGATACCAAAGCAGAAGCGGTGAGTTTTTGTAGTCAACAGCTTTCTAGTTTAGTGACTTTATGCAATGATAGATATGACTTTCTTAATTGTGGCAAAGACTTTTTTTTGTGGATTAGGAGTTGTTCCTGAAAGTTCTATTAGAGCTTGTTTGTATAGCTCTTGTAGTAATTCTGAAAGCTACATTAATAACTGGCAGTAAGTCCCTTTCTGCTTTACTTAGCTGGAATGTGTTGTAATGTCTGCAGCTGCACCCCGCCAGTGTAAGGGTAGTGGTGTATAGGCTAATGATAGAGACAGAATTAAAGGGAGGTCAAGGTCACCATTGTTTGAATAATGGACTGTGGAATCTAATCTGGATGGCAAGGAAAGTGAAGAAAAAGGAAAGGGCTGATAGAGTGGAAAAAAATAGACAACAATGAGTATTCTAAGGAGGTCAAAGAACAGTGTTGTCTGCCAGCGGACTCTCATTTATTCTTTTTTTTTTTTTTTTTTTTTTTTTAAGATTTCACTTACCTATTTTTAGAGAGCGGGGAAGGGAGGGAGAAAGAGAGGGAGAAAAACACCTATCTGAGAGGAAAACATTGATGGATTGCCTCTCAGTACATGGCCCTACTAGGGACTGAACCTGCCATACCAGTCAGGGCCTTTCATTTATTCTTAATCAAAAGTTGTCACCTTTCAAACTTTCCTTCTTTTCCCGGGCCATTCTTCTTCTTCTTCTTCTTTTCTTTTTTTGTTTTCTTAGTATTTTGAACCGAGTCACTATTTTAGTTCTGATCGTACTGCATTATAATTGGTCACCATTAACCCTACTAGACTAGGAAGTCTTTGAGGACAGGGACTATGTTGAAAAGGATGATTTCATGGTAAGTGTAAATGGCCCTTGGAATGGCCTAAGATTTGTCTCTTTCTACGTATGAGTTTTGGGCAAGTAAATTCATTCTTCTAATACAGGGCTATCTACCTTGTAGACTTGTTTTAAGGATTGAAAGGAGGTTTACGAAGTGCTAGCAGATGGTCTGACGTATAAACATCAATAAGTGTGCTGAATTGATGAATTTAAATTAATTTAAAATAGAGTAAAATTAAGTACTTCAATATTTGAGTAGACAGTTTTAAATTTATATGTGCTTTACACTGTGCTAGGCGCTGGAGATTTGAAGGATATGCTGATATGCAAAATAAGGGCATGCTCAGAAGAATTTCATAACCTAAAAAGGGAAAGCCATGGCTGGTGTGGCTCAGTGGATTGAGCACCGGTCTGCAAACTGAAAGGTCTCTGGTTCTATTCCCAGTCAGGGCATATGCCCGAGCTGAGTGCAGGCCGGGTCCCCAGTTGGGGGCCTGTGAGAGGCAACAGACCATGTATCTCTTGCACATTGTTGTTTCTCCCCCTCTTTCTCCCTCCCTTCCACTCTCTCTAAAAGTAAACAAATAAAATCTTTAAAAAGGGGGAAAAATGTTTGTAAATAGGATTCGAATCATGATTTTTGAGCAAGTTACTTAGTCTCTCTGTGTCTTAGTTCTTTCATCTGTAAAATGGCAGCAAAAATTGCCTATCTTGTAAGGTGGTCAAAAAGGGAATTAAGTTAGTTAAGACAAGTAAAGCTTTTAGGTTAATACATGGCAAATAGGAAGTACTAAAAAATTAGTAATTATTATTAGCAACTTGGAAGGGACCTTCAGGATTACTGACTGAAAGAACAGTGTGGAGTAGTTGATTAAGTACTAGTCTTGGGGTCTAGTACCAGCATGGCTAACTGTCAGCAGCCTTTATCAAGTTATTTGATCTCTATTTATTTTCAGTTAAATAAGAGTAATGGGCTGAATGAGCTCTATAATTCCTTGCAGCTTTCATAGTTTATGAGTCCATTTTTTTGTGTGGGGTTTTTTTTGTGTGGGGTTTTTTTTTTTTTACTTTTTACTGTTCTTTTTCTTTCCTGCTTTTTACCATTTTCTAACAGATCCATGACTGGAGTTCAGGAAAGATGTAGTGTCTCCCTAAAACAATCACTCTAGAAATTGGGTGGGAAGAAAGAAGATTGGGACCATCAGTTTGGCTTTTGAAAGTCTCCTATCTTCTGATCTATCCAGCATATTATGTGGAACTCATTTGCTTCTTCATTCTTTAGACCAGAATGTTTCCTTTCTTCCTTCTTTCTCCACCTTGGTTTAGCACATAGAAAGGCTCTATTCATTCATTCAAGAAAAGTTTGGGTAACTACTGTGTTCCAGGCATTGGAAACAGAAAATCAAATAAGAAATGGTTCTTGGGTACATGTTTGAATTAATGAATCCAGACCTGGCTCATTGTAGCCTCCTCCATGAATAATGTCCTTTTGATTGCTCCTCATTGGGACCTAGTTAGTGTTAGAGCTATACTCTACAAAGTTTAGGTGTGGGGTGTAATTTCTTTTTCAGGCAGTGTAGAATAGTGATTAAGAATGCAGACTCTGTAGTCGTTATTCTCTCTCTGCTCATATCCCAGTATTTTTACCTATCAACTTATCTCTTCTTCATTCATATACATAGGTTAAAGATGGATTAAAATCCCGTTTAACTCTCAGAGTTCTATCCAGTTAGTACTGTTACGTAACAATAACAAATCTAAATCCAAACAAACTTGAAAACAACAAAAATCTTGGCCAGATCAGTAAGGCGACACATGAAATGAATGTTCCAAAGGGACTATAAAGTGTCTTACCAATTTAATATTTTTCTATGAACTTGTCATTGCTTGAGAAGAGGGAGGACAGGATGTGGTTATTTTTTTTTTTTACTAATAGCATGCATATTAAAAAAACTTTGAAACAATCATAAAATTATGGAAGTACACTACAAGTAACATTTTTTTATGAATCATTTGAGAGTTTAGTTGTTGACTTGATGCCCTATCGCCCCTGAATACTTTAGTTTTCCTACAAACTAGGACATTCTTCTCTATAACCACAATGTAACTACTAAAATCAGAAAATTAACATTGCCTTACTACTGCTAATACTCAGGCTCTGCTCCATGCTTGGTCACTGATTCCCTCTTCACGCTGCCGGACGTGTGGATGACCTCATCACCCCACTCCTCCCCACACTGGGTCGCTCTTCTTTGTGGATTTCCTCCTTACCCAACATAGAGTTTGGTTTACTCTCCATCACCATTCCCTTGCTATACTTCCTATTCCCACATTATTCTTTCCTTCCTCCGCCCCTTGCTTTGGGAAGGTAGTGTCCAGTAATTGGGTCCCTATTGCTTCCCTACATATTATAGTTGTTTAAAATATTCAAGTAAAATGAAGTGCTTAAGGAAGATTTCCTATTTCCAGAACTATTGCAAGGCAATGCCAAATGGTATTTCTCAATCCCTATCAATTTACTTGCTTTTTCTAAGTCTACAGATGTGGTCCTCTCTGACCGGACTGTATTTCAGTGTTTTATAAACCCTTTTTTAAAAAAAAAAAAGATTTTATTTACTGATTTTTAGAGAGAGTGGAAGGGAGGGAGAAAAAGAGGGAGTAAACCATCTATCACTTGCCTCTTACACGTGCCCTGACTGGGGACTGAACCCACAACCCTGGCATGTGCCCTGACCAGGAATTGAACCAGCGACCTTTCACTTTATGGGATGTCACCTAACCAACTGAACCACACTGGTCAGGGCTAATATAAACCTTTTTGAAAGCAGAGGAACTTTTTTCTCCCCAAATAGAATCTTATATAATAGCTTAATAGGTAAGCCAGATCAAAGCAGAATATACTGTTAAAAATAGTTCCTTCTCCTGTAATCTCTACTTCTTGCTACCATGGCCCACCCAAGGCTGGGAGGGCAAGTGTGAATCAGCAATAATTGGCCTCTGCCTAATTTTCTTTTTCTTTTTTTCCCCCTTTAAATTCTATTTATTATTTACTTATTTACTTACTGATTGATTTTAGAGAGAGAAACATCGATACATATTGTTCCACTTATTTATGCATTCATTGGTTGATTCTTGTATGTGCCCTGACTGGAGACTGAACCAACAACCTTGGCATATTGGGATGATACTCTAATCAACTGAGCTACCCAGGTTTCCAAATGGCTTTGAGTTCGACCTCCCCCAATTCTGGTTTCTTTGAAATTCTGCTCCTTGCACCTTTCATATAGAGGCTCTCTTCTGGTTGGTTGGCCTAGAGCCCTTTTTCTTTGGCCTTCTTGAACCCTGTGGCCCTTAGATATTTTAGAATTGACTTTTTAAAAATAAACTTGAATTGCCTAAGGAGCTTCTGAAAAACTACCATAGAATTCTAAGTTTCTACAGAACATAGTAGGAAAAAAAATCTTTTAATACTATTTAAGAAAATGGCAACCCTCTACTTTCCTGAATTGTAAACATATGTTGTTACATTTCAGTGCTTCCCTAAAAAATGCTGCTAGTTTCCTTCTCAAGGAATTGTGTAGGATTTCTTAGGCTACTGTTCTACAGAAGGAGCAAACAAGAGAGCTTTAAACTTAGCTGATCATATTCTTATCCCAGCAGAAATAAGCAAGAAACAGCTTAAGACTGTTTCCACTTTTATTGTTCTTTCCACAATCTTTTTTTTTTTTGAGGAACAGGTAGACGAAGATAGGGGTGTTTGAGCTCAGTTAGATATCCTACCTGTGGATGCATGTGTGGATCCTGTACTTCAATAATGCTCTAAGAGTTGGAGGGATGATAAAGGTTTTTTGATAGAGCCCTTGACCTCAGGTTAGTAACTTCTGTTCTAGGATGTGATGCAAGAGATGTTGGGCAGAGGGAAGGGAAGGACTCGAGTTGAGAAATGGAAGGAAGGATTCAACCAGGCTGTGATACTTGGATTTAACCTGTGTACTATTAGTAAAGTAATAATACACACCTCTGGCTGACCTAACCCGGAAGGGGCAAGTTTATGGTAAAGATACAAGGTTGTCTTATGGAACTCAGGACAGGATGTTCCTGGGCCTCTGGATAATACTAGAACCAGGATTTGGAAGGCTGACAGGATTTTCTTTCATTTCTGTTTCAAGTGAGACAGTGTAGTTAATGGATGGTGATTGTAAATCAGAAAGAGTTCAAAAGTAGGGCCCTAAGTCATCATCTGAAAGTGAGGGGTTGCAGTTGGAGTTGAGGAGAGAAGAAAGTATTTGCTTATGAAAACCTAAGGAAAATAGTCTCAACTCTCAATGGTGTCAAGTATAATTGGGAGGAAAAAAGAACTGAGGACAGTGTTGTTAGATTTATCTTTATGTAACAGTGATCTGTCCAGCAGAATAAAGGGACATGGTTGAGAGCAACTAGATTGCTAATTTCCTCTCTGTTTAAAACCAGTTAGCTGAGCAAGAGCACCTCTAAGGAACGTCCCATTCAACTCCAACGTGGAAAGACTTGGTACCAAAGGCAGCATAAGTATCACTTGAGAGCTTGTTAGAAATATACAGTCTCTAGTACCACCTCAGAATTGTAATCTATTTTAACATGATCCATAAGTAGTTAAATGAATTTGGTATATCTAACAATGGGTTATTATGTAGGCATTTATAAAAAGATATGTGTGTATATTTGTATGTATGTAAGAATTGCTAAAATATATTAAGAAAATGGCTGTTAATTAATGATTAATGATTCCATAATTCCATTTAAAAAACAACTATACATATAAAAAAGTCTAAAAGTATATACACAAAATAGAATCATGAATTATTTTCCTCATTATTAATGTTTTGTCTGACCTTATAAAATGAGATGTGTATTTTTAATTTTATCAGGACAAAAGTAAGCTATTCTCTCCCTTTTGTTGTCACTTTAGATTTAATACCTAGCATAGTGGTTAAAAGCATGATCTCTGGTGTCAGCCATAGTTTGGCTCTACCATTTCCTAGCTTTTGACATAGGCATAGTAATTTGACCTCTGGAAGCCTCGAATTTCTCATCTATAATATGACAATATTAGAACCTATATCTTGCTGCTTTTGAGGATTAAATGAGTGCTTAGCACAGTGCCTGGGCATACTAAGTGCTTGATAAATGTTAGCTCTTATTACTATTGTTTGCCTTTCTTAAAGATCCATTTATACCACCCCTCCCCCCAAACCTTCCCTTGGCAAAAGAATACCAACAATAGCAACTGAAAAACAAGAAACAGCAGTAGACTAATGGCCTTGACTAAGTATAAAATTGAAAAGAAATAAGATCAAGGTTTCCAAAACTCCACATGATTAAAGCAGACAAAAGAGATTTAGATGAAAGTACATGGTGTTAAATCTATATTAATTATTCTGTAGAGACTGAATTGTCTGCATTTTTCTTCCTTAATGTAGATGCCTCTCAAATTGTTGTCTGGCTTATTTCTTTGTGACAGGACACTTGAATTAGCTTTAGCAGAAGCGATATGGAGGAGCCATAGAACATTAAGGATGAATTCAGGAAGACCGGAGACCATGGAGAACTTGCCTGCTCTCTACACTATTTTCCAAGGAGAGGTATATTCTTTTGTCTTTGAAAACTAACCTTTTGTGTTAAGCATAGATTGAAGAAAAACAGCTGGGTTTGAAGCTCCTATCCATTTGAGAATGTCGTGAGCATTACAGTTTAAACAGGAAGGGTTATTGGAGCATCTGGCTATCACCTGGACCCCTTCCTAAGCTCCAGACTTTTAGCTGCATACTTGACATCTTCATTTGGCTACCTCACAGCATCTCTGATTTATGTTTTAAACTCAAATTTTTATTTTCTTGCCAACTCTGTTCTAGTCTTCCTCAGCAAATGGAACCACTGTCTATTCAGGTACCCACACTAGAAATCTGGGCATCATCCTTGATTTTTTTCTCTCAATTTGATCTTGATTTTCCCTCCCTCTGTAGCCCATTAGCAAGTCCTATTATTTCTGTGTCCCAGAGGTATATCTGGTCTGTATACTTCTTTGTTGTGGCGCCCTGTTCAGGCTCTGCATCTCTTCCCTGGCCATTACTGGGAGCTCTGCTTCTGTCGTAGTCCCTCTCCAATTTGTTCTTTACATCATAGCCAGAATAACATTTTAAAAACAGATTGGACAGTGCTGCTTTCTCACAGCTTTCCTAGGCTTCTCATTACACTTGAATACATCTGGACTTGTTTTTATGACCCTTTTATAACTTAACGTCTACCTGATATGATGGTGGTGTTCTGCCCTACTATACTTGTCCCTAGCCACTCCGTCCTCCTTACAGCTCTGAACATTCCAAGCTTGCTTCCTTCTCATGACTTGCACATACTTTTGCTTCTAAACACATTTTCCCACCAACTTCTCTTTTAGGTCTTAAACATAATGTCATTTCCTCAGAGATTTTTTTTTTTCCTGAAGTAATAGACTTATCCTGCATTTATTTGTGTACTTATTTAATGTGTCTTTTTTCCTCACATGACACTAAGCTCCAAGAAGGCAGAGCCCTGTCTGTTTTGTTCAGTGTTGTCTATCTTTAATCTGAGGTATGTGGGTAGAAAATAATAGGTTCTCTATGTGTCTTGATGACTGAGTGAGTGATCAAACTTTGAGTGAGAAAGCATTATATTTGTTTTTAGAGTAAAGCTTTTGAATAAGACAAAACCTAGATTCCAGTCCTAGCTTCTTACTTATTGTGTGATCCTTAAGACTGTCACTTGATCATCTGAGCCTCAGCTTTCTTATTTATTAAATTGAGAGAACTACTTCCGTGGGATTGCCATGATGATTAAATAAGCTGTCGTCTATAAAAACACAATGCCTGAGACATGGTAGGAATTCATTAACATTATCTCACTTCTCTTGAAACAAAAGTAAAGCCAAAAAATTGTTTTCAGTGTCTTATGAATAACTGTAGTATTTTAACTATATCATCTTTATGGCATTTATACTTGCTTTGTAGTTGACAAAAGTTTCACCTAATAATGTAAGGCCATTGATGATGCACTTTGTGACTGTCCGTTCGTTATAGATAATTGTGGCTCTTGACTTGCATTAAGTTGATCCCGTCTTGTAATGTAACAGTCATGATAGAAAGGGTAATAAATTCTAACAAATAGCAAACAACTCCGCTTACATCCTCTGTCCTTTAAGGTGCATAGTACCCCTAAAGGTTAAGGTACCAGATTCAGGAAAAGGAAGTGGTAGTATTGGAGATGAAATTGATTTTTCCAATCATGAAATCCTGACTTGTCAGGTGTTACACAAAAGAAAGAGAGTTCTCTGCCCTCCACAGACTGACTCAGATTTCTAGTAAAGTGCCTCCTGACCTATACAGCTTTTTCTTATATGAGATGAGGCTTGTATTAGTGTAGGTTTTATGTTTTACTATCAGAATGGATAGGCTAGACTAAAGTTCAGAGAGAACTTTATGGTTCCAGCTTAGTATTTCAGGAGCACATTTTGAAGAATGATGGTTTAGAAGTTACTGGAATTAGGGACAGAAACTTCATGGTAAATTGGAAATAAATTTTTTCAGAATATTCATCCAAGAAACATTTAATGAGTGTCTAATGTTTACAAAGAAGACCATATTAAAATTCAAAAAAAATTTTGTAAGCCTAATATAAATCAGCACTTTTACACATTCTGTCATTCACTTTTTCCTAAGAAATTGTTAACCCCATTTTATGGATAAGGAAGCTCTTCTCAGAAGTTAAGTAATGTCCAAAATGGTTAATAAATGGCAAAGCTGGGATTCTGAAGTTCTCTCTCCAAGTCTGCTTTCTGCTACACTGCAGCTGGGATTGTTCAACTGTACATAAGTGCATGGTGGAACTGAAAGACTTACAAGAGAACTCTTGACTAAATTGAACTATAGGAGGAAGTTAGATGGTAAATCTGCTTGTTCCACAGTCATTTGTTTGTACCTCTATTATGGTATGAATTATAGTCTGTCTTATATATGTGTATGTCTCCTCCACCAGATTGAGTAACTGGAGAGCAGAGGCCATGGTTGTTCATGTATCTCGGCAACTGCTTCAAATTCATTTTAAAATAGGCTGGGCATCTCTCTCTCTCTTTTTTTTTTTTTTTTAAGTTTTTATTTCAAAGTACCTGACATAGCATCTTGCATATAGATGCTCACTAAATATTTGATTTAAACTGATCCCAAGTCTCTTAAGTTCTATTGTCATTGAAGACAGTGGTGGCGCTGCCCTTATACTAGCAGTTCTTGTCGTTAGCGGGCTGAGCAGGGCAGAGGGGCCCAGGGACCAAATAGCGGAGAAGCCAGTATTCATCTTCCTCTTGTCCGTTAAGCATGGTAGGGGATACAGGCATTGCAATGGGACTTGGGATTTGGCTTAGCCTAGCCATAACCAAAGAAATGCTGAGGGGAAATTGGTGTTGGTAAGTGGAAATGCACTGAACTGGAAGTCAGAATACTTCTGTTCCCTACCTAGCCATGCTACTATCTTTGTGACTTTGCACAAGTAACTTATGCCCTTGAGCTTCATATTCCTCATTTACATTATGGAGATAACTAGTTTCAAGGCCAATGCAACCTCTAATCTGAAGATGGTAAATTCATTTTACCCAAGTCCTTAGTCTAGTTATGATAATTACTGAATTTTTTTCCCTTGAGCTATTTGACTAATTATTCTGAGGACACCAGGGCAGACTGTGTAATCATCTATAGCAGGTGCCATTCTGTTCATTTCAACTCTGTCTGCATCTTAGGAGACACGGTGATGGGAACACCTGGTGCTGGATATAGGCAAGAATGCCTTTTCCTAACTGAGCTGTTGAGTGCGTCCATTCTGGAGCCCATTAACCTTTCCTTTGGGAGAGGCCAAATGAAGGTCTGTTACAATATCTCCTCAAAAGATCAAAATGTGACACTGGAGCTTCTGGATTCAAAAATGAGATTGTCTTAATTTATAACAGCAGGTTGGTTTGGGCTCCTACTTCCAGATGCTATTTTTAAGTTTGTTAGATAGTTATGCCCTTTAATAATGTTGTTACACAATATGAGACATCTTAGCCCTTTTTTTAGAACCCTGGAGCAAAAGCCAAAATACCTTTGGTGGGTACAGAAAGAAGGGATTTGCTTTTATTGTAATTAAAAATTAAAATCAGCCCTGACTGGTATGGCTTGGTTGGGTGTCATCCAACAAAAGTGAAAGGTTGCCTGTTTGATTCCGATCAGGCCACATGCCTGGGTTGTGGGTTCGGTCTCGGTATGAGAGGCAACCAATCGATATGTCTCTCTCACATTGATGTTTCTCTCCCTCTCTTTCTCCCTCCCATCCCCTCTCTCTAAAAATAAAAAAATACATAAAATTTTTAAATTACGATCATCTTTTTTATCTATATGGTCCTATCTTACAGAGGACAAATTGCTTTGTAAACTTGGTTAAGCACTTCATGTCTCTGATCTTCACTTTTCTCATTTGAAAAATGACAGTATTGGTCCAGCTAATCTATAAGATCCTTCCTCCAGTTCCACCTTGCTTTGATTTTAAATGCTAGTATCTGGCCCTGGCTGGGTAGCTCAGTTGACCAGAGCATTGTCCTGATATGCCAAGGTTGCAGATTCCGCCCCTGGTTAGGGCACATACAGGAAGCAACCAATGAATGCATAAATAAGTGGAACAACATATCAGTGTTTCTCTCTCCCTTTCTCTTTCTCTCTTTCTGCCTCTTTCTATCTAAAATCAGTAAAAATAAAAATAAGTAATTAAATAAATGTTAGTATCTGCCTAATTGTACGTTTTTTGGGGGGAAGGGGGCTTTGCTGTCTGGTCCCTACCTCAGCGTAGCATGTTCATCTGTAAAACAGGAGTTTCAAGTTTTTGGTTCCTAACCTATTGTAAATGCTCTGTCTTAGAGATTTGCTTCAAATGCTCTGTCCCAATATCTCCATAACAAATGAGGAGAATGGAAGTTTTAATCTATTTTTATCCTGACATTGAAGTGAATAGTGCTGCTATTTGGTGAAGTAGGAGACACTGGGCTACGAGTCATGTGATCTAGGATCTGTGCCTACCTTGTATCTAAGTTAGTTGTGTGCGTTTCCACTAGTCACTACCTTTCTGTGCTTCATTGTCTTGGACTATTAACTATTAAAAAGCTAAAATGTGTTGAATGTACATTGGCTGCCAGATACCAGTGCCTGGTGCTTTATGTACATCATTTGTTATCCGCAGCAGCAAAATGAGTACAAGGGGAACTTAGGCCCTGAAAGGCAAGTTGTGTTCAAGATCCCACAAGTAAGAAGTGGGAGAGCTGGGATTAGAAGCCACATCTTTCATTCCAAAGCCTGTGCTCTTTCCACACCTACACTATTTTACCCCATGTGCAACATGGGAACCTACCATCTGTACTTCCTAAGGTTATTGCCAGGAGCAGAGAAGATACCAACTGTCACACTGCTTTTGGCTGCTAGAATTTTATAGTTAAAGACAACCCAAGAGCAGCTCTAATGAGTTAAAAATCCCTGGGTTCAGATCCCAGCACTGTTACTTACTAACTTTGAACATTGGTCAGGTTACTTAGTCTCTCCATGGATCAGTTTTGTCATCTATCAGATGAACATAATAGAATAGTACCAACATCATACAGTGTCCTTATGTAAATAGAGTCCTTATGTAATCCTTATGTAAAACACTTTGAATAGTGTTTTTGCATATAATGGGTATTCAGCATGTACAAGGGGGACCCAAAAACCCCAAATTATCTTCTGGAGATCATACCCTTATAGTACAGGCTTCCCCCCTAGATGAATGTTCCAGGAACTCATCTGTATTCGTGTACCACCTGGTGGTGGTTGTGAGACGCTGCGTTCAGCTTCAGTAAAATTTTTGTTGGAAAACTTTCATTGTGTTTGCCATTTCATTATGGGTGACTTATGAGCATACCTGTCCACGCTGTGCTGAGTGTTCAGCAGTTTTTGACCAAAAACAGCATGACCCACACCCCCCCCCCCAACCCTCCCTATTGATCGGCTCTACCCCTGACCAAGTTTGCTAATGTGGAAGAAACGAAACAAAAAAATGGCAGAAATACTAAAAACATCAAAATCAACGAGTTCAAAAACTGTTTTGAGTTGTGGAAAAAATATCTTGATAGGTGTATTGCATCAAGTGGAAAGTACTTTGAAGATGAATGAAGTTTAAACATGGAAGAATAAATACACAATTTTTTATAAATAAATTATATTTTTTTGGATTCCCTCCTTGTATTAGTGAATAGCAGTCCAGCAGGGATTGTTTTATTCTATATTCCCTTGTTGTAGTTGTGAAGCTGAAACAGTGAGCAACTAATTGAAGTCACTGAAAATAGTAAAATGAATGTGTATAAGATTGTATTGAGCATTTTTCAAAAATAATACTGAATTTAGGATAAATACAGTATGTAGTGACAACTTGAATCCCAATCCACAGGTGAAGGGAGTAGTCTAGAGGAGAGAGGAGGAGAGGGATAGTCTGGAGTAATAATTTATCTGGCAAGGGATCTGGGCCACTCATTACGATTACATATTACAGAGTACATGTAGACTGATCAAACCTCTAACCCCTTCATCTTAGATCAACTCTGTGTAAGACTTGAGGACAACTTTCTCATTATATCTTTTCAGTTTCTATCAGATGTCTTTGTATTGGCTTTTCTCTCTCTCGATAAAACTCAGACTCTTGTTTGAAGTGAACTGGAGCAGGCTCTATGGTCTGGTTTGATTTGAAATTTAGGAAAAAGGGATGTTTTACATGATCCATCCCAAATTATTAAAGTTCTCTGTATTGGGATTGGAGGCCTCAATCCCAGCTAATATAAAATGTAACTTTATTACCTGATTTTCTGCTGTTCCTTTTGTTCGTATACTTTTGGAGATTTCAATAGGTGTTGGATTTGGGCATTCCTAGGTATTATACCATATGACAATAGTCCAATCTCACCAATGTTTTTAATGGGTTCACACATGCCTGTCAGTCTCAATTTTAAAAAGAATAGAAAATCTTTGACAAAACATCACTGTTAGGCAGTTTGGCAGCAGACAGAGAGAGGCAGTCAATATCAAGTAGAAATTCAGGGAGATTGGTTAAATGCTACAGAAGAGAGTGTCATCTGTGTGACACTGATTCTTTTATATTTTTCCTTTTTTGTCTTTATAGGTTGCTATGGTGACAGACTATGGAGCCTTTATCAAAATCCCAGGCTGTCGGAAGCAAGGTGGGAGCCTATAACCTGAAATTCAGCCTTCCCATTCCACCACCACATCCTAATTAGAGGCTCTATGTTTTTAAGTAGTTTCTTTGTTTTTGTTTAGAGAAATGAATACAGGCAAGTGATGACAGTTAATTTTTAGCTTGTCTTAGAAGAATGGTGTTCTCTTATTTGCCTTCCCCAAATTTCACGTGTGACCCTCGGTAAGTCACTTGACCTCTTTGGTCTTAGGATCTGGGGAAAGGCAAACTACTTACTCCCTAAGGCTAACATTGTGAGTTTTTAGTTAGGGCACATAGAAAGGAAATATTATAACCAATACAAATATATGTGTTATATATAATACTTCAAATTTTCTTAGTATATTAATAGACATTTGTTGACATTTTTGAAGAATCTTTTTCAAGTCTATATTCTTGTTTCTCAAAACAATTATGGTAAGCAGAAAAGGCAAGTTTTGCAGGCTGGTAGCCTGCTCAGAGTGATTTACCTAAGTAATGGCATATCCAGGACTAGAACCCAGGCCTCCTGATTTTTAGACTCGTGGGCTCTCTACTATCATACTCCTAGTGGATCCAAAGACTCAAATTGGTAATTTCTTGTGCTAAAATAAATTAAAAATTTTAATGGAAAAGTGCAACCATAAGGATGTTGTTAGAAGAAAATAAAATAATATTTGCATAAAAGTCAAAAACTTTATTGCAAAAATTACCAAAGCAGAGTTGAAACAATGAATCTGTAGTACTATAACAAAGGACTCGTAAAAAAAGGGTGAAGTAGGAAAAAGGGCCAAGGATATGAGAGGACTTCACAGGAGGGAAAAAACAGCAGTTGATCAGTAAGTATCTTGAGCCCTGGCTGGTATGGCTCAGTGGGTTGAGCGCTGACCTGCAAACCAAAGGGTCACCAGTTCGATTCCCAGTCTGGGCACATGCCTGGATTGCGGGCCAGGCTCCCCAGTAGAGGGGGACACAAGAGACAACTACACATTGATGTTTCTCTCCCTCTCTTTCTCCTTCCCTTCCCTTCTATCTAAAAATACATAAATAAATAAATAATCTTTAAAATAAATAAATATCTTGAAAGGTGCTCATTCTCAGTATTGATTTAAAAAATAACTTAAACAGTGGTATATCCACACAATGGTTTACTACTCAGAAATGGAAAGGAATGAAAATGAAGTATTGATATGCGCAACAACCTGGATCAATCTTTAGAGAATTAATGGTGAGTGAAAAAAAGTTAATCCTGAAAGATTGTACACTTTACTATTCCATTTATATAACATTCTTTTTAAAAACAGTTTAATGAGATATAACACATGCCATACATTTTACCCACTGTATAATTCACTAGTTTTTAGTATGTTCACAGCGTTTTGCAAACATCTCTATCTTCTAGTTTGAGAACATTTTTGCCACCCGCTCTCCAAAAGAAATTCTGTACCTATTAACAGTCACTCCACATTTTCTATTACCATCCCTCTTTCCTTCCCAGCTTTAGGCAACTGGCATTCTGCTTTCTATGTTTATATATTTGTACAGGTGGTCTTTTGTGATTGTCATCTTTCACTTAGCATGTTTTCAGGGTTTATCCATTTTGTAGCATGCATCAATACTTCATTTCTTTTCTGTTGCCATCCCAAAATGTGGTATGGAATCAACAACCAGTTCTCCAATTCTCTGATTCTTTGATTCCAACTTTGTATCCTAAATTCAAAACTGACACTACCTGAAGGTGGCATCAGGTTCCGCAGGCTTTAAGGGCTTAGTGACACAAGACAGCTGACGCCAGTCCTGGGCTACAAATTTAAAGGTTTCTGCACCATCCTCAAGTTTCAGTAATTTGCTAGAATAACTCAACTCAAACTGATGTTATGCTTACTATTATAATTTATTATAAAAGACACAAATGAAGTATAAAGAGTGAAGTCCAAATGGTCCCAAGTGGAGTTGAGGTGCATCACCCTGTCATCATGAGGATGTATCTGCCAAGTCAGAAGCTCTCCAGACCTTACTGCTTAGGGCTTTTTTTTATGGAGGCTCCAGCACATAGGCATGATTGATTAGATCGTTGACCTTAGTGATTTAACTCAATCTCTGACCCCTCCTTTCTCCCTGGAAGCCAGGGAATAAGGCTGAAAGGTCTAACCTTCTAATCACATGATTGGCTCCTCTCAAGATTGCCAGCCTCCGTCTTGAAGATCTCTAGGGGCCCACCAGTAGTCACGTCATGGCATAAACTTGGATACGGTTGAGAGGGGCTTGTTATAAATAACAAGACTTTCCTATCACTTAGGAAATTCCAAGAGTTTAGAAGCCCTGTACCAGAAATCAGGAAGAAAACCCAAATATATATGTATGTATGTATTTTTAGAGGGGAAGGGAGGGAGGGGGAGAGGGAGAGAAATATTGATGTGTGAGAGAGACATCAATTGGTTGCTTGTCATGTGCCCCCACCTGGGGGTCTGGCCCACAACCCATGCATGTGCCCTGACCACGAGTTGAACTAGTAGCCTATAGGTTCATAGGCCAGTGCACAATTCACTGAGCCCCACCAACCAGGGCCCAAATATGTATTTCTTATATCGTGTATCAATGCAGATATCCTGGTTATGATAGTATACTATAGTTTTGCAAAATGTTACCATTGGAGGAAACTGGGTAAAGGGACACATGGTCTCTCTTTCAACTCTAGGTGAATCTAAAATTATCTTAAAATATTTTTAAAAAGTAATTTAAAACACTCTTAAGATCTTTGAGATTAACAAATATTTTTAAAAATTGCTATTAATACCCACTATTGGAAATGGGTATTTCCAGCAATAGTTTTACTTATTGGGAGCATAAATTGTTACATATTTTGGCAATATCTGTTAACATTTTTTAATGTGCTTACCCTTTAGCAATTCTTCAGAGAATTTAGTTTGTAATACACCATTAGATAAATTATGTGCATCTATGCAGTAGGCAATGAAGATGAATGATAGCTGTATTCTAAGATCCTTGGATGCTGATGTTGTCCTCATTTTACCACCAGACAAGGTCAATGGAAAGTTTTCATACAATTCTACCACACTGATACCTGGCTGATGGCAGTTGTAAAACACTATTGATTATAAGAAACATTCTCATTTCAAAGATGTTAAAGTGTGTATGTGGAAAGTGCTTCTCAGAATCCTTGAAACAGGGTAGATCTCATTGTACTGAAATGGAAAGATGTCCAAGATAATAAAATGAAAAAGCATATTGCAAAAGAGTTTGTATAGCATGACTCCCCTCCTTCCCCTTTTAATGTATGTGTACGTACGCCAGTGTATTTTAGAAATCATTGCATACAGGGGTGGGCAGAAGTAGGCTTACAGTTTTAATACAAATAAATAATACAAGAATAAACTCTGTTTCATGTACTCATAACGGTAAGCCTACTTTTGTCCACCTCCTCTGTGTTTAGGAGAGTATGGAAGGATATGCAACAAATTATTAACAATAGTTACCTCTGGGGAGTTTGGTTTGCTTAGGAAGAGATGTACATGGGAGAAGGATTTACATTTTCTGCTTTTGTGTGTGTGTGTGTGTGTGCGCGCGCGCGCGCACACAACTACTTCAGTTCTCTAAAATGAAATTTTCTTTAAGAGTTATCTATAGTTCAAAGCTCATTTCTATGAGATGTCACGTCCATCACCCTTTTAAAAGACATTATGAAAGGATATCACCAGAGGTGACCTAAACATTTCAGCTAAGGGTTAAGATATAAATGTTTTCACAAAGATACCCAAAAAAGGACAATCAGAATGAAACAAGTTCCACGTGGTCATTCAAATCTTGGTAGAGGAACTAGAGTGGAAGCCCAAGCTGGTGAGCAAGTGTTTGAGAAGAAAATAAAACATGGTTCAACTAGATTGCATGAGGAAACCCAGACAAATGCTGGCGTTGGCATTATCTAGGTAACCCCTATTTTTTTGTCATAGATGACTCTAGTAATAGTCCTGTTGTTACAACACCAGTCTAAATCCTATCAAGTTAAAAAGAAGTCCCTCAATGACTTGAGTGTAGGTGGTAACTCATGTCCTCCCACATCAAGAGAGATCAGTTCTGGCAAGAAAGTTCCAAGGTGCCTTGATGGTGCTGTTGCTAGGATGCCTCAGGCCAGGCATGTCCCAGTGATGGTCTGGTGGCTGAGATACAAGGTGGGAGGAGAGTAGGCCTTATTACTGAATCAACTTCTTGGCCTTGAAGAAGCAATGAAGGTAGAACACCTGCCAAGTGGCTAGTCCAATGAGGCAGATCATTGAAAAGATGCTGAAGTACAGAACCCGACTATTTGTTGACTCATTAGTGTTGTGCATCTCCTCCTTTTGCTTCTTCATGTAGGCAAAATCATTAACCATAGATTCTGAAAGGTCTTCTAGGCGTTGGAGCTCCACCTCTAAAGGTTTGAGCTGCTCAGCTTTTGCAGTCTCTTCGTAATCGTAATTTTTCGCCTCCACTCCACGCTTCATGTCTGGGATCACTAGTTGGTCAGGTATCTGCCCTGTTCCCTTGCTCTCAAAACACAGTTCAAATATGTCATAATCTTCAGTGGTAAAGGCACATTTCCCCTTGGTTGTGTCCTCTTTGGAGTACAGTATATGGCCAGCAGGATCTGTGATCTTAAGGTGGGTGCGCAGGCCGCCAATGTCAGCAGACTGGTCAGTGATTTCGTGTGCGCCAGTCACCAGCAGGTCCTTGTGGATCTCCTCACGGAGGCTCTTGGGGGGAGATAACAGGCAGATGGAAGGAGATGGCGAAAACCAAGCTGGGGCCGAGCAGGAGTGACAGCAGCAACGCTAACTGGCAAGGCCCATGCTTGGTTCGTGGGCCAGACAGACCAGACACGGTGCCGGAGACTGTTCACCACCCGGGCCACTCTGCTATTTTTAAAACAAAAAATTTTTAAATAAAGTCTGACAGCTGATCTGTGGTTAATAAAACCATGGTCTAGCCTGGGAGACTACTATGCTGCAA